TCATGGTTATCAATTATATGTATCTTAGCTAGTGCATACATGGTACGTATACTACATGTATGTATGTGGCCATCCTCTTACTCCTAACGACATACTGGGCCTGACTTCTTCTTCCTCTTCTTTAACCCATCTGCGCCCAGGCAGATAGTGTTCTTTCCGGTGATTGATATCTGTCTCATATCCTCATTACTTACTTGAGTAGTGAATTACATACAAGAGGCCACCGACGTTAACGTCAACACCAATTCTCGGGGAATCGGTAGATGTGGTATACGTATACGTAGGTTGATCAATAGCCCCACGACTGCGTGAAGGCTCTACATACTCATTTATCCCTATCGCCGATCAATCATCATCAATCAGCACATGGAATCAAAAAAACAAAAACAAAAAAACATGGCATCTAGCGAAGAAAGGAGGCACAAGAAATCTTAACGCCGAAAAAGGAGGCATAAAAGTGCGCGGAGAGAGGATCCCTGGCCATGCTGCGCGAGGTTTATTCGCCATATATGCATATCATGAGGCAGATTCCCATTCTCCCTCCACCACGGGTACGGGATTTTACTCTATCTCTTTGTACGCATGGATCACCAAACCAAAATGCACGCGTGAGATCTGTGGCTCAGGGAGGAGGAGGGTGGAGTGGGTCATGGCACATACATATGTACCCCGCAGGTGTCAGGGAGTTCCTGCTTCGGTTTCAGAGCAATGTGTCACAGCCAACGAGGGAAAGAAAGACATCAAGGTTCAGAAGAATACAAAGTTCCCAGGTAAGATTTATCAGGTGAAAGTGCACACGATTACCTTTCACCACTTGCCACATACAGGCGGCGGGGCCAATGGATATACATATGTACCTATCCCCTACTAGTCTTTGTTTTTCGTTTCTGAGCACGTATCCATTCTCCAGAATAGGTATGTTGATGGGAGGAAGTCTCTCTTGACAGGGAATAGTATTTATATCTAGCTACATGTATGTAGGCATCAGCTCTATTCTCCGCTTTCGTTTCTGATCACAAGTCCCCACATGCCATATCCCCCTACTAGTGGGGAACCTGGACAGAGAAATCATCAGTTAATTCTCGGCATACGGTTTGCAGAAACTAAAACAATGGCAGGGGCCCAAATAAAAGAAAACTCTAAAATTCTTCACGGACGGATGCAAAATATGGTTGCGTCTTTGACATACCCTGGAGATCGATATATGAGGTTGTTGTGGCTTGGTCACAATGTGGTCTGTGCGTCCTCATTCTGATAAGATGAACAAAGCAAACATATTTACTTACTTACACGCATCTCATGAAGAATTCAAGATAGCTATAATACATATATCTGTCATAGTGATGAAATAATTCCCCGCCGATCATGAGGCATGGATAGTATCATATTCTCCTTACATATCATATAGGATTACAAGCTCAAGGCATAGAAAACTGGTACTCCCTACACATACGAACCAAGATTAATTATCATCTCTTCATACTGCAGATTCCTCCTATGGTTATCCATCCAAAGTCAATAGCGGTACTCCACTTTATCTCATCACTGTCCGTCAGGAACAGGCCCCAGAGGTAGCTATTGGACCTCTACGTACGAACACCACACAGATACCTCTCTCCTCTACCGGCAGCGGGACCAGAGCCTATTTGATAACCTACCCCGAAAACGAACACCTACACTAGCTGTAAGACTCCATCCTCGAATCGCAAGGTATTCATTCGAAAGGTCCACCATCCAAAGTAGGGTTACGGCGCGGTTCCCGCGGTTAAAAAACTCCTCACGGGTATCATCCTACGCTACCACACCGTATGTATGCATATGCAAGCGCACCGGCATGGGGCATTAGACGAGTCGAATGAACTTTTGTGGAGGATGGTCAATCTCCCGGAGTATTAATCAGATACTCCTTTTTCTTTCTTTTTTGGGCCAGAAAGCGATGCATGAAAGTGGTTTCGCATATCCTCAGGTATTGTAGGAGCGTTGAGATAGATGGAATCGACAGTGCTTTTTCTCTCACGACGGCCCCATGTCCCGGCCGACAACGTCCATCTATCCTCCAAACGGAAAAAAAGTGGCAGTAAGAGAGGGAAGTATAAATAAAAATAAACAACTGAGCCGCTAAATGAAAGATGCACGTCTGTGGCCTGCCCCACTTGATTCGGGCACCCAGGCAGAGTAGTCGGTATCCCGGCGTTGCAAATGACAACCTGCCACGAAACCCGGCAGACAACTGCCTAGCTAAGGTGCAGTAATAATCCTAGGAAATTTTTTATGTTTCACTTTTGCTGGTGCCTTTTTGCCTCCAAACCCCAAGACCCCGGGTTTGGAATGCTATGTATGTATGTAGGGCATGTACCTACTCTACTCTACAGTAGGTATCTGATACTTTGCCCGGCCCTACTCACAACGACTAGGCATGTATTTTTTTTCCTGGGGAAATATCAATTCAGGTAGCCAAGACGCACCATGGAAGAGAAAAAACCGGGTTCTCTGAATCAGGTTATGCGGCATGGTGATGGGATCCCGATCACGTTATCGGAAGGGGGAGTAAACTTGCATGCATACGGGAGGGAGGGAGGGAGGGAGGGAGGGAGGAGTTGACGTTGATTGACACCGCCATTAGAGATCAGGTGTATTCTCCCTGAGCCCAGGGGATCGAGTGTGGCCTGGGGATCAACAACTCTGAACAATCTTCTGAGAAGTACAAGTAAATAGTTGCTAGATATTTAAGCACGCACATAACTATATGTACTAACTATTGCCACACACGCGCGCGAGTGCACACACACCTCTAGATGGGGAAAAAAGGGAAGAAGAAAAGAAAAAAAGAAGAAGAAGGTTGTTTCATTGAGATTCTGTTCCTTCGGATAAATTTCAGGAACTGTTGTCTGAACTGGCTGGTTCTGTAGCGGGTACATGTAAGCACGTTTTCTTGGCACGCGCTGCAGAGAAATTCGGTTAGCGTTACCTACGCTTACGGCGGCATTTTTACAAATAATTTGCATCTGTGCGACAGCGCCCCTAAATATTGGAAACTAACCTAGGTCTTCTTTCTATTCGGCGGCATGGCATGGCAGTTTGTGTGAAGATACAATTCCGGAATGGCTGGTTGGTTTTCGTCTATCCTACATTTTATCGAAGGCATCATACTTTTTTTTTTAGACCGAAAAAGCATTGAAAAAATACCAAAACCAGTCTCCTCTTCGGACCGGATCCACGGCAGAAGATATCGAAACATTCTCATTGGCCACCAACAACGACATGGCGCATCTAAATACCTTTTCAGAAAGGTATATCCAAGTGGTTTATTAGTCAAGTTAGACATTTTTCTCCATGTAGCCCGTCCAACCTCGTGATGGCTACACTGCTAAAATTTAGGGTGGTGGTGGACATGTATGAAATTCAAAATTCTGATATCCGCGCCCGGGAAAGGAAGTCTAGACCAGCAATGGTGGGGGAGGGATGAATGGGTTAGCGGCCTATCGTATCAATGATAGAATTAGGTGGTTACTCGGAGGCGGCAGGCAACAAGAGTAAATGGCTTGCAGGTTGACAGATCTTGCATCCTCGGTTTAGCGAGGGAGATTCGTTCAATTGTGCAGCTGTACAGGGAGAGAGAGCATGAACGACTGAGCCAATTCAATCGGCTTTTTTAAGTGGATATAGCCCATTGGCCATGGAACCTAGGGGATATTGGAGCTTGGCCGTGAGGTGAGGTACGCGTCCGGCCGAACAGGGAGGGAAAATACTGTGATGGGCACAATTGTTCCTGCCTATGGTTCAACATACCTGTTGGGTATGTACCGCTGCCTATGTATTCCATACATCTGAATACCCATCTACCTACATACACTGTAGAATAGTACTGATTCAGAGGAGAACAGAATGAATGCGGATGCTGCTGCCTACCTGACCCTGCGTATACTTCCTCTTTCCTCATTTAGGATATGCGTGTGCAAATGTAGGTACATACATGTATGTATGTACTCTAGAGTAGGTATGTGTGAGTACAAGTATGTCTGTATGTATGTATGTGGGTAGGTTCTCTGCTTAACTCAAGTTCTTATGTGTAGGTAGAGTACTGACACTCTAGTTACTCTAGAGTATTCTATGTACCTACATAACTACATGTACCTACTCTAGATACTCTACCAGTGTGCATCTTGTACTCTATGTCCCCATACGGTACCGTAGCTCAGCACGTACAAGGGTTCAGACCAGACATCCAATAATCACCAGCTAAGCATGAAAACGGTTCGTTACTCTACCATATTCATAACCACCCCTGCGGGCGCGTGCCTGGAGTACATACTGGGGGGTCTAATTTTTGTGGAGTCCCGGCGAATTAGTACCAGAAGAAGTTAGGTGATACAGCGGAAGTTAGATTGTAGGCAAATTCCGCCCCTGCGTGATGGGTTGCGAGCTAGAGTACTAATGGCTGATGATCACTAAAAAAAAACGATCGTCTACCCAGGGTGCACGGGCTTGTATTGTACATACGCCTTTAGACAAAATCACCAACTGACTGGCCCGCCTGCCTCGATCTTGGAACCACCGTACTTACTCTACGGTACACCATGGTAATTGAGCTATTAGCAAAAAGCGCGGTTTTTGCCGTACTGAACGATAGTCTGTTACAATTGCTTGCCTACTTAAATGGATTCCTGCTCCCTCCTCGGACGCTCCAACAAGCTCTAGATCTCCTCTGGTCTGATACCATTATCATTACTCCCCCCTCACTCGTTTTTTCAAGCTTCTACTTCTACCTGCAGCTCGTTACCTAGGATTGGAATAGAGAATTCTCCGAAAACATTGAATCAAATCACCAATATCTATCGTATCAGCCTTGACCCTTAGTTGATCTGAGCGTTTATTTTTCTTCTTTCTCAATTATATTTATTTTTATTTTTATCTTATCTGGTGGTCGGAGAGCTTTAAGGAAAGGATCTTCAATAGTCAGACCAGCTAGCTATTCATTCAACTACTCCCTGCCAATACCAATGGAGAAATCGGTTCAGCAAGACGTACCACTACCTCCTACGATACCATCTTCGGTTGTTGTAAGATCACAATCGCCGCCGGCATCGATCCATCATTCCATCGTCTCCGACTCTTCCGACTCAGATGATAGTAGATACACACTCAGTAAGGAAGAGATTGAGCGCTTGGGACGTGTTAGGCCGGAATGCTTCAAATCGGCTTGGTCAGAGATAGGATTCGTCCTATCAATCTGCATGAGCCAAATATTGACTGTAAGTTTTTCTCCCTTGTTTCTTTTCCCTATTTTTTTTTTTTTTTTTTTTTTTTACGCTGGGGCGCCAAACACATGCCATTGTAATTATGATATGTCCGGGATATATTCGTAAATACCCCATTAACCGACGGACGGAAGAGGGAGATATATCTCGCGCACAGCCCACCTATTATAATAGTAACCACCCTCAATGCGCAGGCCATCATTGGCTAACCTAGTCCCGCGCACCCATACAGGAATACTTCGTCTCTGGATTCAACCTCCTCGTGCCCTCAGTAGTGGAAGCCTTCAAAATTCCCGCAACCTCAGCAACCTGGCCGGCATCCGCCTTTTCACTAGTAATATCATGTTTCCTACTACCCTTCGGCAGGCTGTCGGATATGTACGGCGGGAAGATCATGTTTGTGCTGGGCGTGGGCTGGCTAGTTGTGTGGAGCGTAGTCGCGGGGGTGGCAAAGAATGAGTTGATGTTGGATCTGGCAAGAGCGCTGGCGGGGCTGGGGCCTGCGGCGTTTCTGCCGAGTAGCGTTATGCTGATGGGATGTGTTTATCGGCCGGGGCCTAGGAAGAATTTGGTATGTGCCTTTTCGTTTTGAGTTTTTTTGAGAGTCATGATCATTGTGCATCAGCTTGGTTGGAGTCATCCTTGAAGACGACGTGGACTCATTGGGAGAACCCAATATGTAAGACATTGTACTAATTCGAAACGCAAATATAGGTATTTTCCTTCTACGGCGCCTGCGCACCACTCGGATTCTTCTTTGGGATCTTCTTTGCCGGCATCTCTGCTCAATATTCTTTATGGCGCAGCTACTTCTTCATCGGGGCCCTATTCGCCGCAATCTCCTTTGTGCTCGCCTGGGTTTCCGTCCCCTCCGATAAGGAAGAGCGCAGCACCTTAAACATCAAGATGGACTGGCCCGGAACTATCCTCATCGTGTCGGGCCTCATCCTCGTCGTCTACGCCATCACCGACTCCTCGCGCGCTCCCCATGGTTGGAGATCACCAAACATCTGGGTCACCTTTGCAGCCGGAGTCTGCATGCTCCTCGGCGCCGTGTACGTTGAGGGTTGGGTTTCTCAACAGCCGCTCCTGCCGAGCGATATCTGGCAAGTGCCCATGTTCCCGGCCGTTGTGGCTGCAATGTTTATGCAGTATGGCGGTCTGGGAATCTTTCTCCTCTACTCCACATTCTAGTAAGCCAACTCTCCCCCGCCTCTCTTTCCACTCCCCCCCCCCCCATACTATAGCCTAGCGATGCAAAAAAAGAAAATTAAAGACTAACCACTACACCCTGCAGCGTGGACGGAGTCATGGGCGCTGGTCCCCTTCAAATCGTCGCCTGGTTCACCCCCCTCTTCGTTGGTGGCATGATCATTGCTACAGTCGGTGGCTTTGTCCTCCACATCATCTCCGGAACCATATTAATGATCACTGCCGGTGTCGCCTGGGTAATCGCGCCTCTCCTATTCGCCATTATGCCCGACGGTGCTAGCTACTGGGCTTTCGTCTTCCCCGCCATGATCATGGCGACCGTTGGTATCGATATCAGCTTCAACATCACAAACATCTTCATCACTACTGGTTTGCCGAAGCGACAGCAGGGCCTTGCTGGTGCCATGTACGTTACCACTCCCCTAACCCTATACAACCCTAACCCTGAGCGAAAAAAAATAACTAACGAGAATTGAAATATTATAGAATCAACTCGAATATGCATCTGAGTATCGCCTTTTTTCTCGGTTTTGCAGAGATCATCTCGGCGAAAACGCATCATCAGGGAATCAGAATCAGTTACAAGGCGGTGTTCTGGTTTGAGATTGCGCTGGCGCTTGTCGCGTTGATAATCATGGTGATGTGGGTTAGGGTTAGTAAGGCGAAATGTGATTTGACAGCGGATGAAAAGGAGATGGAGAGGGAGAGGAGCAGGTCGAGGGGATCTGAAAATTAGTTCTTTTTTTAATGTTAATAAGTTATGGGGACGAGTTAATGATAATGTTGTAGGCGGGAGTGGAGGAGGGGGTTAGGGTTAAAATAGGTTGGTCTTCAGAGGGTTTTATTCGGGGGGCATCGGGCTGGCGTTTATTATTGGTTGGAGTTTTTATTCGTTTTTTTTTCTTTCCTTTTCTTTGCCTTCGCTTCTCTTGTAATTAATATTTTGGGGAAAAGGTGTTGGGGAGAGAGAGAGAAACAAACAAAAAAACGTTATGGAAAAAAGAATTTAAAATCATAAATAAAGATATCGTCTCATCTCACTATCTCATCTGGACCGCATCTTGATACTAATGCAATTGGTACCAGATTAGGGAGCGGGCGTCCAAAGTGAAGGCACATGTACCTGATTGGAGTAGAGTACAACTGATCTGACCCGATGCTTTCTCTCTCTCTCTTTTTTTTCTGGCACTTTTTCTTTGTTCCTTGGCCGCGGCCGTGCAGTATGTAAGTACCCTTATCATAACGTGACAAGTGGTACAGGTAGGTATGTATAGCACCTCTGTTTTATACATACATGCCGGTACATGTCAGCTCTCAGTTCAGATGTAGGTTCCATATGTAGAGCACTGTATTAGATGTAGTCAACAGCTATACATGCCGTATCCATGGGCCAATTATACGGACACAAACTCATCAAGGCTCACCGATGAGGGCTTTGAAGACTTCGGTTTGGTTCTGAAGTATACCGATACCATGAACAACTATAATTCTGCGCGGTTCAGCAAGTAGCATTAGCCTATTATTGTCGACCGGGGCTCGAGCACGTACCATGGAAACTAAAATCAGGCATATCTAGAGTACCACTCGATGCGTCAAATATGATTACTTGGTGAGCTTACACGCAGTGATAGGTTTAAAAGACACATTGCCGCTCGAGTTCCAAACCAGCCAAACCCACCAATAACCTTCTATGTAACCATAGCGGACTCCATATGAACAGCCGACTACAACGGTGCCTCCAACCAGTAAGGAGCCAAGATACCATAATGGACTCCATATGAACAGCCGACTGCAACGGTGCCTTTAGCCAGTAAGAAGCCAAGGTTCCTCGATTTCACCTCCCGCTTCACTTGGGCGTCTATCTACCTCTGGCAGCTGGAGTAGAAGGGCAGGGGTCGAATCTTTGATCCAGGCATGTGCTGAAAAACGTAGTTTTTGTTTTTTCTCTCGCCAATTACTCGGGCCAATAAGACATTAGGGCTTGGCCTCTTGCCGTTCGAAACCATGCACCCTTCGTGCGTCTGCGTCTGGGGGGCCGTCGCACCTCGGGTCTTAAATGGGGGCCGGGGGTGTGGATGTTTAAGACACGAACAACGTTGCAACAACGCATGGCTTGTCTATCAAATTTTTTTTTTTTTTTTTTTTTTTTTTTGCCTTTTTGCCTTTTTGTACTTCAAGGGTTGGTTCTGGAATTCCAAAGTGGAGATGCGGTCTGTGCTTTTTGCCCGGATACATGGATGGATGGTGAGGAGGAATTGATGGGGGATGGGCATGGCCGGACGGATGCCTTCTTTCTTGGCATGCCGATCGATCGAGTGATGGCGGAAGATTCTGTCACATGTAGGCCAAGTGTCTCCCGGGGAGTCACTCGTAGGGATAGTATTGGCAACCCTAACCCTAGATGAGTATGAGTATGAGTATGAGTACAACGAGTCTAGAATGCCCTCCTCGTATTTTGATGGGCGTATATAACAGTTGACCTTTGAAATTGCAATCAAAGGCGTCCATATCCATATGGCCGGCCATCTCTGGAAAAGGCTTCAGAAGTTATATCCCTTCGTTCGTCAGAGCAAAAACGGAGACATATTAGGCGCACGACGGCGTGGTGATGTTCAGAAAATCTAGCTATCTACAGACTGTGGAGACACCAGAAAAAGGAAAGTATAGGAGGGGTCACAGAAGGCGACTTTACAGCAAAAGGTTCACGGAATAAGGGTTAGGTTTATTACCGAGTAAAAGTTGCCTACTAGCTCAGAGTCGTGAAAACACACGAAGGGATATATATGCTCGTCTGGGTTACTCTTTTAACCATTCCCTTTAATTTGCAGATCGGCCTCGGAAATTATATAACGGCCATACCAAATCTTTGAACTTCCTCATTTTGGCCTTTCTGTTTGGTTCCTAATCATGATCAACAAGCAATAGATATGGCATCCCCGATCTTAATTAGAGGTGTGTTGGCAATTTAAAGCCGATCGCTTATATATATAATTTTATCTCTAAAAAACACATAAAAAAAAACCAATATCAATCATGGAATGGTCGTGGAGACGTTACAAGAGATTACAATTGCAATAATATTTTATTGGCTGTTTTGTATGTGAAAGCGCGAAGGTTGAATAGTTTTGTACTTCCCATTTTTATTAATTTATTACCCATGATAGGCTTGCGGTGAAACACCGAAAAGAACTCTTTTGGCGACTTTCTTAATATTGCACTACAAGCTTCTATCCTCGGGTGAGATTTAGATAAATGAGAAATATAACACATAGCTAGATGTAAAGCTTAAGTACAGTACTGAAAAAGGGAAGTGTTATAGGTACTGTAGCAATACGGAATTGTGCAAAACTTCTGGATTGAATCGGAATCGTCACTACTATACTGTACAATATATACCGTATTATAGTGATGGGCACAAGACAAAAAGTCTCGAGCCTTTGTCCCGAGATACGAGACAAAACAAAACATAGAGAAAATGAGAGAAGGCAAAACAGGACAAAACAGAAAAAGCCTAGTCTCGAGACTTTTCGAAATATACGAGTGATTGTCTGTGACCTTAGTTTTGCTTGTTTTCCCCGCCAAAAATATCATGGTGTAAAAAAAAAATCCCATGCGGAAAAAATCCTGTTTTATAAAAAGTTCTCCGTGTGTAAGAAAACATCAACCTGATGACCTAACCCCTAACCCTAAGTCTCGAGACTTTTCACGATACATGGCCCAAGTATTGTCAATTCCGAGACCTCTCTCTGTAATCCACAAGAAAAGACGAAACATCCACAAGTATCGCCTTGTTTTGTATTGTGCCCATCACTACCGTATTAGCAATACCTCAGTTTCGTGGTATTCTGCCAGATAAGATGCTACTAGATATATATACCCTCTTTTTAGTACTGTATTACTGTAGTAGAATATACATTGTAGGAGTTTTTTGAGTGATTTTGTTTTTATATGTGTATCAATAGTCTGCGTACTGACTGGGGAAAACATATATGTTTACAATTCCGGCATTGTATTACATGTAATATAGTACTACAGTACCAAAAAAGCGGGTGGATCCAGTACCATATCTGGCAAAATACCGTAGGGTTACGGTATTGTTACGGTATTGCTACGGTATAATAGTTAGGATTCCGATTTAATTCGGAAGTTTTGCACAATTCTGTATTGGTACAGTACCTATTACAGCCTCTTTTTTCGTACTGTACTTACATGTAGTCACTTTGCGTCGTTCGTTGGTTTCACTATCGGAGAATGTAAAACACTCATATATAATCATTTCCCTTTAGCAATTCGCGCTCGTTTTGGCAGCCTTAATCCAAATAAGATCGTGATATTCTAGATAAAGGCACAAAAATATATCCGTTTCGCCGGTAAAACACCATTGTAATCTATCTTACATGTAATATGTACCTATTAGTAGCGTACTAATACCGAGCGTGCGTGACAGAGGATCTGCACTCCGGGATAGGTCTCTGGAACGCGTCGCGCGTTAAACTCCAGTTGCCAAATTTTATTTCTACCTTATCAACACGTGATTGCATTGATTGCACAATTCCGTTAAAGAAAGAGAGCCTCCAGACATTCTCATGATGCCACTGCAATTGCAACTTGAAGGAGTCGGGCCAGTCTTTGTTGGTGTGGGTTTGGGTGTGGCTGAAGCACTTCCATTTTGGGGCTAAAGTGCAAGGTTGGGACGGGAGGAGACACGCGCCAGGCCAGGGAAACAACTTCGCGTCCGGGCCAATGTCAACGATTCTATTCTGGAGGTAGCACAGACGACCAACGACCAACGACCAACGACCAACGACCAACGACCAACGACCAACGACCAACGACCAACGACCAACGACCAACGACCAACACTCAACACAGCACGACGACTTTCTCTACGTAGCTAACTCTACGACATAGATGTGCAAGCCTCATAGGTCTGCAGCGCACATCTCTACAGCACACAACTAAACCGCTACCCAGACACCCGCCCATCTCTGGCCAGTATGGATATCTGGTCTGGCTCGATCTCAGTCGAGTCCTCCTCGGCCTCAGCAAACATCGTGCCCCTTGAAGGTAGCCAATACACACAATCCAATACCCTCTAACCTACAAACACCAGATACTAACAACCCCCCAGATCTCCGCCTCTCCACGCCCTCCTCCACCACCACCCCCTCCTCCGTCCTCTCCCACCTCACCAGCAGCCTCTCCTCCGCCCGCCTCTCCGCCCTCTCCATCATCGACCCCACCCGCATCCCGCTCTACCTCGCCGCCGGCCCCTCCCTCGAGCTCACAACAACCTCCCCCGCAACCGCCTCCTACTTCCGCAAACTCTTCCTCTCCACCCTCCCCACAGACGACACCCTCCGCACCACAACCCAATCCCGCGCCGCCCTCCTCGTCCGCATTACTAACGATACCCCCGCTGCCCCGGGCTCCTGGAAACTAACAGAACTTGTAATCTACGCCGCCATCACACACCTGCCCCCCCAACAACCACTCCTAACAACCACAACAGCAGACCTAACACCCCCCAACTCCTCCCCGCCCGCCGACGCCACCGCCGCCGCACCAACAGTCCTTGTAACCGTCCACGCCCTCCCGCTCTCGTCGCACCATGCCTTCTTGATATACATGGCTGTGGTGAAGCCGCACGCCGAACCGCTCTTTATCGCCCCGAACCCGCAGGAGATACTAAACCCGTCGATCTCACAGTCCGCGAAGAAGCGCGGCGCGGCAGTGCTCGATGCCGCCGCGGACCCGCGGAAGCGCGCGAAGAGGAGTGTGCAGCCGCAGCCACCGCAGCCGCCGCCGCTGACGCTGCTGGGCGGCGCCGCGCTGAACCACCGGAAGATGAGTGTGGGTGGGGGTGCGGCGGGGGCGGGGGCGGGCGCGGGCGCGGGGGTGATGGTGAAGAGGGAGAGGACGCCGTCGCCGGCGCCGTCGCTGTCGGTGAATCGGTCGTTTGGCAGTGGTGGTGGGAGCGGGGGCGGGAGGGGGCTGAAGAGGAGTGAGTCGTCGGCGACGATGCGGTCGGCGGTGGGGGCGGTGGCGAGGAAGGAGGTGTATGGTGAGGTTGAGACGCGGAACCGTGCGGAGCTGGCGAAGGTTGTGGTGGCGGGGATGAGGGCGTGTGGGTTGAAGGACTATCGCGGTGGCAGGGGGAGGTCGATTGTGGGCGTGGAGGACGACGAGGAGGGCGAGAGGGAGAGGGAGAGGGAGAGGGAGAAGGAGGAGTATAAGCAGGTCTATTATCATACGGTCAAGGCGGCTGCGTTTGCGTTGGTAGGTTTTTTATCTTTATCCGCTGTTTTAGTTTTGTTTGGTGCGTGGGGGGCTAATTGGTCTGTGTGTGTGTAGAGGAACGTCATCGCCGCTGGCACCGTGGGCCAGGACAGGATGAGGGACGTGGTGGATAGGCTCCTGGCGGTCTTCTGTGAACCCAGGACTGGACAGCTGATGTTGGAGGCGGCGGCTGCGCAGGCGGCGGACGAGTAGCGTGCTGCGCTGCGCTGGGTTCGGTTATTTCGGTTTCTTCTTTTGTGTTTTTATAAAAATGACTTTTGGTAGTGGGCGTTTTTTCTTTTTTTCTTTTTGACGACTTCTTCTTTTTTGACTTGGCTTGATTGGATGAGGGGATGGGGGGTTAATTGGTGGCTGTAGATACATAGGATACCAGGGTGCTTTTGCGTATGTGTGCGTTGGAATAATAGCTGGCTTGCAATTGGAAAAGAGTGGAGTGAAGATAGTGGAATGGGGGTGGTTTGGTAATGTGCATGGATTATCACTCGTGTGGATGTACCATTCAGCAACTTGATAAACTTGGGGTATTACATTGCCCTTTAACTACTAGTTACTGTACTGTTGGGCGTTTTGTGTTCTTCGTCAGTGCTAGTGACGGTATGTCAGGCTTGCGTAAGATAAGAGGTGTTTACGTCGGTGATATGAGAACTACCCCAATCGGTCGTGGGATCCATATATTGGGTTAGTAGGAACATATATATAGATAGGACAGATATTTAATCGCAAAACGGCGGCCATGAGCCGGGTCTGCTATGTCGTTAGTAGCGGTGATCTAGATTTGATGTGGGGGCTTGGTCATGGGATATCACTCGGTGTTGGTACTAATGGGTAATGGCGGTTTTTTTTTTTTTTGTTTAAGTCATTAAGGGCGGTTTGGCCGGGCGCGTGTGCTGGTAGCGATGGGGCGGGGTGTGGTGAGGGCTGGTAATATTGGGTGTGATTACGTACATGCATGGGGCGGATTTGACCGATCTAGAAGGAATTTATAGCTAGGAAATGGAGGGCAGGATCAATGGGTGGTGTTGATTATGTGAATACTAGATAGTTGTGTATGGATGTGTGGATGTGTAGTGGTGTGTTAACACATGTGGAAATGGGCATTAGAGACATGCGGCAAGGTATGTAGTCTCTCTAGCTAGTAATTAGAGTACTATCTCCATGCCGCTAATGGGGCGAGAAAGACAGTGGTGGATCAAACCGCTGGGGATGTAAGGTAAGATATATGTGGGCCTGCTAGCTGGTAAATAACCCCAACTAACCCTAACTAATATTATCCCCCCAACCCCCACTCCGAAAGGTCAACTTTCTCCCGTCGATTAATTGGTTTCCTTCCTGTTTGCGCCCTTGCAGTCTTCATCCTCACAATATCCATGGCTCCGGTTGGCCTATTGTGTACCTGCGGTATATATTGCCTTAACGTTATCCCTTATACTTGGAGTTTATCAGACTCTATGGGGACTCCGCCGGGCGGTCTCGTGCCTTGAAAAGAGTATAGCAGAAAAACTGCGCGCGATCCAGCGAAGTTGGTTTCCCAAACCAGGTTCCTTTTTTGCTCTGGCTTTTGGCTGATGTGGTATAAGAGAAGGTTTCTTATTTTGGCAGCTGTACATCAAAATACTCGTACACATCCAGCCTGGTGATTGCTTGCTCTTGGTTGCGGGCATCTTGATTTTGTGGTATTGTAGACGCTCAATGTAGTCGCGCATTAAGTCCCGGACGCTAGGAACATTGATTAGGAAGCAATAGCGGCGGGGCCTCTGAACGAACTTCTAGTTGATTCTAAAGCTCTACGCCCTGTCCCTGGACAGATAGATACCGCTTGCGCTTAAATGCTGGTTATGTGGCGATCACTGTGTAAGATTTGTTCTGATACCGGATATTGCAATTACCGATCTTGGGAGGCTTCGAGGATTATTTCATGTATATAGTAATGATCAATGCTTCCCAATGACGATGGGTAAGACATATATCAGCGGGTGACACTCGAGGACCCCCGGAAAATAATAACTCCAATGAATATAAAGTACTTGGGTAGTTAATTATCTGTGTATGGCGTGCATGAACTGAAGCCTTTAACTTGATCACTTACAGGTACGTACCCTAACCTGGACCGCCCATCCGCCTTGGCCTGAAACTGAAGGCGGGCTCAATCGTGCTTCAATAGTTCTCTTGCATGTGTTCATTCTACCATGTCCAACGGCTTATGGCGCCCTAAACTAGCAGATCGGTTGAAGAAGGTACGTTTTGTGGTTTTGGGTCGTCTGCCAAGACAGTTAGCATATCTGGAATGGAGACTCTTCCTGGTGCCATCTTCCTTCGAGATAGATTTCTATACGATGATAGTAATTCGCTTTTGGATTCGGGAGAATAGCTATAGCCAGAGTATGTGTATTGGCCATGGATCTTGGTGTGGTGCGGGGGATAGAACATAGTTTGCTCATAAAAGGTTTAGACACGAGTATGTCTTGGCACTATGGCTCCGAGTGATTGGTCATGATTATAAGAAGGATGTTCACTAGAGCCACAAACCCGAGAAACGGACGGGTGGCTATCCCCACGTAGTATATATACGAGGAGTCGGGAGTGTGCGGATGACAGCGGGAGAGTTTAACTTGCTTTCGCTTGTGGGTGTGTAATGAGTACTTACTAACTGGTTCTGATACTGCGCGTGCATGCAATGTCGGACAGAGCAGTGGCGCCACGGCTGCACAGCGCTATCGATAAATCACCACGGTGCATCTGCTCATACATTCTAGCTTGGCACCGGGCGAGGCCGCGTGTTAGATACGTCGTCCGGATGGGGGTGTAAGGTTTGAGAGGTGTGTAGGTGTATCACATGGGGATCCTATGAATAATACCGCTCATCATACGCCTTGCATGCACGTGGCCTTTCGCTGTCTATCTTCACAGGTTATCACGCGGAGTATAGCATCTTACAACTCGTGTACGTAGGAGGCGAGAGTTGCGGGCCACGTCAACTATGTCGATAGCAGGTATAATCGTTATATATGAGGTGAAATCTGATTTGACAAAAGAATCTGATAACGCTCAACCCATCTATAAACCCCCCAACGACCAGTGGAGTCTGTGAGTGTAACGCGTGCTGTCGCAGTACTTGCATTGGTGATTGAATTCATGCTCATATATGTCTTCACGCAGGTTGTGCACATTGGCTATGGTGTGAAATTGCTAATTCATACTCGGCATATCTATCCGACCTTGAATGTGTAACTAGGGAATGGTAAATGATTAAGGACCGAATGTTATATAAATGAACGTAGAACATAAGATATGGAACCATGCTTTTTAAAGGATATATGTACCCCGGGATGAAGAATGAAGTAAATTAAAGGAATCTGAATATAAGAAAAGGATATGTGGATAACATAGTGAGAAACCCCATCAAACAGAAAAAGCCAGCTGGAACACAAGAAATCGGTAATACGGCAACAACAAAAATGGACTTGGGCGCTTACAGACAAACTTAACGCAACAAGGAGAGAAAATTTGCGTCTATGGCTTGCTTAAGAAGGGGGGTCACCGTATTATGGTTATTCTGTGCTGCTAAGTCTAAAGGAGTGCGGCCAGTACTTGTCTCAGCAAGTGGGTCAGCGCCCTTCTCGAGCAGCAGGCGGGCCACCGCTTCGTGACCGTTTTGTGCCGCCAAATGTAGGGGAGTCCATGATTCAACATCAAGAGCAGAGACATCCGCGCCCTTCTCGAGCAACAGGCGGGCCACCGCTTCGTGCCCATCTTGTGCCGCTATATGTAGGGGAGACCATGAGTACCCTTTCGTAAGAGCAGAGACATCCGCGCCCTTCTCGAGCAACAGGCGGGCCACCGCTTCGTGACCGTTTTGTGCCGCCAAATGTAGGGGAGTCCATGATTCAACAACAAGAGCAGAGACACCCGCGCCCTTCTCGAGCAGCAGGCGGGCCACCGCTTCGTGACCGTTTTGTGCCGCCAAATGTAGGGGAGTCCATGATTCAACATCAAGAGCAGAGACATCCGCGCCCTTCTCGAGCAACAGGCGGGCCACCGCTTCGTGCCCATCTTGTGCCGCTATATGTAGGGGAGTCCATGAGTACCCTTTCGTAAGAGCAGAGACATCCGCGCCCTTCTCGAGCAGCAGGCGGGCCACCGCTTCGTGACCGCTTTGCGCCGCCAGATGTAGGGGAGTCCATGATTTAACATTAAGAGCAGAGACATCCGCGCCCTTCTCGAGCAGCAGGCGGGCCACCGCTTCGTGACCGTTGTATGCCGCTACATGTAGGGGAGTCCATGATTCAACATCAAGAGCAGAGACACCCGCGCCCTTCTCGAGCAGCAGGCGGGCCACCGCTTCGTGCCCATTTTGTGCCGCTACATGTAGGGGAGTCCATGAGTCTTCTTTCCCAAGAGCAGAGACATCCGCACCCTCCTCCAGCAGCAGGCGGGCCACCGCTTCGTGCCCATTTTGTGCCGCTATATGTAGAGGGGTGTCTGAGCAACAACTACACTGAATACATAAGTCTACACCATTCCCAATCAGAGGAAGGATCTCTAGCTCTGAGAAATATTTGCGGTGCAGCAGCTGGCATAACCTTTGTATATTGTCTTCCCCCGCGCTGTTATGAGTGTTTCCAGGGGATCGCTCTGTACCTTTTTCCTCCAGGTCCTGGGAAATGTTCAAATAGCGACGAGACTCCGACGATCTATCTAAAATACCTAGATATTTCTCCGCTCCCATGGTAATAGTAGATATCATGGTGCTGTCGATATATTGGGAGCGGGGTGGAGAGGAAATGAGGGTGTGGTTTTCTTCGTGCTGGCTTTCAATGATCGAATTGACAGGAAAAACCAATTCGGGCCCGGGAGGGATGCTCTCCACATCAACCATCTCGGTATCTTCACTATTGATATAAAGAGGGTTGATGTATGTGCCTAGTGGAGACTGCATATCATGATTGAGTGAATTTACAGGCTGATAATGCGTGAGGTAAGGGCGAGGCGTCTCTGGATTTTGCTCCATTGGTGTACTATCGTTATCGATTCTTGGGGTTCCATATGATTCGCTGGGCGTCCCAGGATCAGGATTCCGGGGAGTCCAATATTGAACGTAGTCCGGAGTAGCTTAAGATACTACAGTCAGAGAAACTCTATTCTCGGGAGATTTGAAGTTTTACTTACCTGCCGAGGGGGAATCGCCTGGTTGATATCCGGGAGCGTGCCGCTGCAGTTTCTCCATAGTTATTGGCAACTTGTTGAATGTAAACTTAGTCTGTTTTCTCTCAGACATGAGTCTTTCATTTTGTTTTTTTAGCATTGCAATCGCATCCTTCCTCTTAAGGTTTTTGTTGAGTCCCCAATGTTTTATTTTTCTATCGAACTGTCTCTTGCTGATGAGTTCATGATCGAATGTTAGCTATGCGCGTATTACAATATATTGCTGGTCGATCGCACGCGCAGTACTAGTATATATCTATATTCTGGGGCCGGCCATATTGTTGTGCGCCTGGAAATTGTACTTACTTTGCATAGAAACCATGGTTTTGCGCCATGATTTTCCTTATCTCTGGAAGCTTGAGATTTTCCTGGAGGTATAATTTCTGGAATTCTGGACGTTGAGCTTCCCACTCGGCTACTGTGTGCTCACAGAGTTTAAAATCCTTCTCCCAATCCGTACGCGTACGTGCCGGGCGGGGGGGTGGTTCCATCGGGTGATCGGTGGCTTTATTTAGCGAGGCTGTGGGGGTAGAAATTGGGTATATTTATTATAATGTAAGGTGAGAGTACTAGTGTGTTGTACTACGAAGGTTGAACCGCAAGGTGATAATGAGGGAGGAATATCAAGATCGACTAGATAGAGGGCACACGTTGAGGTTTAAGTACCAATTTTTCGGAGTCGAGATGATATTAACAAAATCACTAGTAGTACCAGTGAGCTCATCCAGCTAATCGGTAGCTTCTGATACATAGCCTCACATTATTATGCACGGTGCTTTTGATATGACCCAATCAACACGGTCTACAAAAGCACCCCGCAGCAAGGCTCGGATGTGCCAACACAAGAAACGACCAATCCGTCAAAAGCACCTTGCAGGTATTGGTAACCGACACATAGGTCAAAAGCACGTTACACAGAGATATCTGAGATTCATTCAAGAACCAACTAATCCGTCAAAAGCACCTTGCAGGTATTGGTTTTAAGATACAACCGACTAATAAGTCAAAAGCACCTTACACAGAGAGTCGAGAGTCGAGATTTATTTAAGAACCGGCCAATCAGTCAAAAGCACCGTGCTGCAAAATTATTTATATATACTCCATTTTCTTGCCCCTTCTCACCCTATTCTCGATATATTTTCTCTAATTTCTTCTACGTTCATAGCTGCAGACGGCCTATCCCCGCTATATCCTGCCCAGTACTGCAGTCCCGCCACATTTTCTACAAATAAAAACATTCAACATACGAAATGGAAGCCATTCCTAAAAACGCTGCACGAAACTTCTGCTGTAACTGCAAGAGCTTACAAGAAGATACATGCGGCCCCTCTAACACCCCAAAAGATCTCATTCAAAAGGATGATTCGATTAAAAGACTACCCGAGTCTACACATCCAACATTTTCGTCATTCAACACATCTACACCTATTCTTTCTCGGTCCTCTTCAACGACCAAAGAAGAAAACCAACCTGTTACTAACGATACGGCACAAGATAATACCATAAATTGTCAGTTATATTACAGTTCCACTTTTAGTTCGCGACTGCATTACTAACTCCCGGACCCCTACTGTGATGGCCTTAGCCTTCGAAGGTTATAACCAGGATACTTCGTTGGCTACTTTAGAGGCAGGGCCAGCTTCCACAGGTGATAGTCGATTCCGACGCATTTCACCGGAAATACAACGATTTATTCTCTTCATTCTTATGGGAATCATGTTCATCCCCTTTTCATTCGTTGTTCGGGCCTGGGGAAATCTTGACACGAGTCAGACCGTCGGGGTCCTCCAGGTATCTGTGGTTTTCTTTGTGGAGTTGGCCAAGCTGTTTCCTTGGATCTGAGGTGTGTAAGCGTTTTTTCTTGTTATTTCACGGCATCTAATGTATCATGCATCGTTAGTATAAGGAGTACTGGGTTGTGATTAGCTTGGGCGGGATTATTGATATACAAAACATACATGTATCTCATGTCGTTGGATAGATTTTCTTTTTCATTTTGTCTTCTATCTTCCTCTCACTTTCTCTACACATTCTTTTCATTTGTAAAAATAATAAAAATTGTTGTAATACCCTTTGGAAAAAGATTTTATTTGAAGCGTTTTAATTTGCCTACTACTGGGTCGTTAGAAATTCAAGTTAGGGCTCATGATCAACTATGGTAGTTTCTCTGTACTGGTTTGCTGGAATTGTTTCAATGAGTGTAATCTGAATCTCTAAAGACCGAGGCCCCTGTATACTATATTATGGATATATGCATATGCATGTACCGCCGATCTTACAAGAACTAGAAAGGATTGACCCCGGGCCTAGTAAATACCTCCAAGAAGATGGTAGTTGCTAATATATAAGGCCGGCCCCTAGAAATGATTGAATGTGTTGCATGAATCAAAAACGTTCCCGACTACAAGCTTTTCCAGCCTGGATATTATAACATGCAGCAGGCCTAGGGTTTTCAGATTCATGAACCTCGAATTATATATCCTATTGTATGCTCCGCCCTGTAGAGAAACAGTTATCTGGTGGGCATTCTCTTTACTGAACTCAATACCCGCAACGTCACGTCCTCAGATGGTAAACAGTTCTTCGGAGTCAGTAGAAAAATTGGGGGAAATGTAGTCATATGTATCCAAGTATAATCTGCGTGGATATTGTACGCGCTGAATGGGACTGAACTGCCTCGCCTTCTAGAGGCGTTTGAACGGACGGTCAGGAAGCGCAGCTCAAACTTGTTCTCCTCGGCACGCTTGAAGGCCTGGAGCATTACTCCGATCAAGGTCTGAAACCGTTCAGTAAATGCCTTTCATAGCTGCCGGCCTTCCTCGATCGAACAGTAAATGCCTCCAATGGCTGCATTACTTGATTCTTTTAGAATCACGGAGACCAATCAAGTCATTATAGTGCTGTTCTTACATGTAGTTAGCTATCTGTGTGAAGATGATGCGCCATGCACATAGGGAAGTTATGGGATCCGGAGGTAGGTGTGTAAATGTTGACTTTTAAAGAATCAACTACATGTAATTAGTTGGTAGAAACTGAAAATATGTAGCTGGTGGTCGATGGTTCGGCTGGTTCTAAGTTTGACTTATGTCTAGTTCATTAATGCTATTTGGAAACCCTTCCTTACTTTAAGATAGCTCTTCTGGATTTAAGATTTAACCACGTACCCATAACTACATGTAGAATTGTAGATGAGGGTTTGGTATAAACCCTACATGGTACGTATTTGGTCTAGTGTGGCCGATCCAAATAACTTCCCAATCAAAACTGGCAACTTGAGGGTCGGCATCTGTCATCTATCAAAGGGTACGTCAAGCCGATCCATCTACAATAGTATCCTTGAGTTCCTAGAAATTATTTAGGAGACATGTATGTTAAACCTGACCCTGCCTTTCTTGAATGTAATCGTTAGTCTTTTGTCAGTTTAAGGTTTCCCGAGAGAGAGGGGTCGATCGAGATTAAGGTTAAATACATGTAGCCAATCAGAAATTCGGTTTAATCTACTAGTCCCAGGCTTGTTCCCGAATCCTACATAAAGTACATGTATGTACATGATAGAGTACCACTTGAAGTACAAGTGCTTTACAGCAGGTTTCATAATACTATGCCTAGGCGATTTTCTCACTCACAGTATGATTCTCGAAAGATAGCCTCTAGCTCCAGGCAATTGATCATAAGGTTACCTTTCTGGACAATCACTTGAAAATCTTAAACTCGGATTTCCTAAGCAGGATATCGTTTTAAGGTTTGAAGAATCGCACTGTATATGTGTAGAGTAAATTATAAAAGTTAGTGTCGAGCCTAGTATATATTATGAAACCTGCTTTTCCAGAACTCCGTTACAACACCAAAATTCCGTTTAAAAAGTGGCTTGCCAAACACTCATCACTTTTTGCTAACGGGATTTTGGGGAAAGCCGTTGCTTAGTGGAGTTTTGGCCCTTTAACCTTGTTGCCAAACGCGCCCTCAGAACTTTAAACCTAACCCTAGTATCGTCCTAGGTATCCGTGTTATGCGTCTAGTCTCGTACTCATGTCTACAGCCAGCTCGCTGCTCTCCGTAAGATGTGGAGTAGCTAGATACGCTCGAATTATAACTTTGTAATTCAAATACTTAATCAAAAAGACGAAATCGGCCTGCGAAGAGCGGAGAGAAGTAAAACGATGACTGTCAGTCTAGTCTCCAATCAGACTCTGTGAGAAAATGAACAATATCGGCGTTTAGTACATCATACCTTCCTAATACGGTTAGTGAGCATTTTGGCAATCGATGTGCAGAGGTCTTGTGAGATTCCAAAAATCATGAAGCTCCAGTTGTAAACACAACAAACACGTCCTCTTCGGAGTTTGCCCCTCTTCCCGTGTTACATACAGCACTTTTATCCATCACCATCCTCTCCTTAACTCCTACGGTAGCTCTATCGGTCAGCTTTCTCAGCTTTGCCCTACCTTGATCAAGCAGCCTTATTTTGTTCCATCGTCAGAAGCTCGGTTGCGGCCTGTGAGCTCAACATCTGAGCTTTTGAAATGACCGACTACAGCGCTCTCCGGGCGCAGACTATTGGGTCCACACAGGAAGAGGAAGCTGTCACTGTTAATACTAGAGCTTTGGTGCGTATCTATCCATGTATACTACATGTATTTGCTGCTCCGAAAACTGACAGTCAGATATAGATCGATAAAGTTTTAGCTAGATATTCAAGCGAAAATACAACGTATGTTACTCACCTAAAGCTGTTCTCGGCATGCTGTAGCTAACAGATATGCTTGGACAGTCTTCGAGAGCTACTCCAGAATGCCGCTGATGCAAATGCCACCTCCGTAGAAGTCCGTTATGATAGTGTCAATAGCTCATTGCAACCAAGCCATCAAGAACTTGACATCCAAGATCTCACTAAACAGAAAATGCGGCGGATGCTGGTAAAGAACAACGGTCACTCATTTAGGGAAGAAGATTGGCAACGTTTGAAAAGAATAGCAGAAGGAAATCCAGATGAAACAAAGATCGGAGCTTTCGGGGTGGGATTTTATAGTGTATTTGCCGACTGCGAGGAACCTTTCGTATCTTCTGGAAACGAAACCATGATATTTTACTGGAAAGAGAATACCCTCGTTACCCGCCGACACAAGTTGAAAGAAAGTGATCCATATACTACCTTCCTACTGGAGTACAGAGAGCCTACAGAGTTACCTGACTTGAAAGAGCTTTGTAAATTTTTCGCAACATCTCTTACATTTGTCAAACTCAACGAAATATCATTATACGTCAATGATCGGTGCCTGTTGCAATTAAAGAAGAAAACATCACCGTCGGAACCTTTGGCGATTCCCAGTTCCATAAATCCAGTTACGACTGAACGGCTTATGAAGATCGCAGCGGTAGAAACCGAGCGGCTGCAGATTGATGCAAAGTATATGAATATCACTCACCATCGGGCACCTATGGTTGATATCGCAAACGGTCTGCGTTCCATCTTTTCTCGATTTAGCGCAGCAGCTCAACCACCTAGCACATCTAAGGAAACGAGCTCCTCAAATTTAACAGAATATACACAAGCAACTATATTCTTGCGAATAGCGACCGCGACTGTGACAACCTCAGTCAGTACAGCGTTCGCTCGAGAACTCGAGAGGGCCACTAAAAAGCCTCCCCCCAAAACCACGAAAATTGCCATGCTTTCCATGTCAAAAGACGAGCTGGATGCTTCTGAGCATAAAGCGGAAATCTTTTCAAACGTCCTCCCAAGTAAAAGTGGAAAAATATTCATTGGGTTTCCCACACACCAGACCACAAGTATCAGCGCTCATATATCGGCACCTTCGGTAATTCCTACAGTCGAGCGGGAAAATATCGATTTAAATGCAAGAGTAGTCAAAGAATGGAATATTGAGATGCTGCGGATATCCGGTATCCTTTCGAGAATTATTTTTACCGATGAGATGTTGATGCTTGGCCAGAGGGCAGCCGGTCTAAAGCCGGAGAATCTGGTGAATCTCTACGATCATGCGATACACATCATGCGGCAGTTCACATTTGCCCAATCAACACCGTCTTCAGCTGTGGGGAGGTATATTGAGTCGGAATTTTGGAATTGCTCGAAGAAAGATTCCATTGAGCTTTTATCAACGAAAGGGGTTTTGTCAAGCGATAGAGTTCGAGTGGCGAGTGACGTTAACTTTTTGGAAGGAATGCCTTTGTTGCCAGAGAAGCTTGAAAAGGAAGCGTCAGTTCTTGTGGCACAACTGAAGGAAATGGGGATGTTGACGGAGATTACCATCAGCGATATCCGCCGGGAGCTCGGTGATAAGGCACTAAGTGGTGAGCAGTTGGGGTTCTTTCTAAAGTGGTTAGCAGGAAAGCGTCTCAAGGATGAGCTAGATGTTGTGGGAGTCAAAAGCTTGTTAGAAGTAGCTGTTGCGACCACAGCGGTTGCAGACTCCGAAGGCGAAAGTTTCGGGATCCCTATATCCCTCGGCGCCATCAAATTCTACATCAATGCCCAAAAACTCTCTGCCGATATCCCCGTGCCACCAGACTGTCTCCCATTCAATGTTACAAAAAACTTGACGAAGCCACAGTTAGACGCTCTTGGATGGGAAGAATTGGGAGTTACATATTGGCTGCAGTATATCTGCGTTAAAACCTCAGCACTACCTGTTGAACAAAATATACAACTTTCCGCAAAGTTTGCTCAAACTGTTCTAGCAATCATTTCGAAAGGGTGGGAGCAATTACCTCCCAATAGTAAAGAAAATATCGTCATCCTCCTCAAAGACAAAACTTGCATTCCAACCCGACAGGGTATGAAAGTTCCTCGAGAAGCCTATTTCAATACCGTCAAGTTATTTTCAGATCTACCACTGGTGGAGAGTATGCACGGCGTTAGGGACAAACTTCTTGTGGCATTGGGGGTTCGAAAAACGGTGGATCTTAAGCTCGTATTTGAGAGGTTGATGAATGGGTCGCAAGCTGGTGTTGTCAAATGGAGCCACGTCGATCTCATAAGGTACCTTACCAGTGTGAGAGAAGACATACCTAGGGAGGATATCACAAAGCTCAAAAATACAGCTATTTGTAAGGCTGAAGGTGTTGGCTCGACGGGTCTATACAAAGTTTCAGAACTCTACGAGCCCAACGATGGCTTAAGGAAGTTACAGTTGCCGATTTTACAATGGCCTGGAATCTGGAGAGAAGGAAGCCATGAAGCGAAGTTCTTGTCAAGCTTGGGTTTGAAGCGGTATCCAGGTGTACAGGAAGTTCTACAGATTGCGGGAAACAAGGAAGACGCAGCGTTGAGGGAGGCAGCCTTGTCTTATTTTATTATCAACTACCACCTGAATTCATATCATACTTTCAACACCGCCGGAGTCACCATTCCGTTTTTACCACTCAATGATAGTAAAGGAGAGAAAGGGCCCCGTCTTGTTACTCCATGGCAGTGCTTCTCGAATCCCAAGGCTGCAATCATGGGATTTGATGTCTTGAGGCAAGACCTTCAACAGCACGGATCTAAATTCGGTGTGAAACCGGATCCCGATATGAAAGATTGTGTGGATGCTCTCATCAACTCTCCGCCATCCACAACTCGTGCTGCACGAGAAAAGTTTGGATACTTTTCGACTAGATTGGCCGATATCATGCCGCATCTAGTAGAAAGATTAAGCCAAGCAAGAATCATTCCTGTACCCTTGAAAGATCGCGAGAGGATACCATCTTCGGATCTAAAGATCAAATTTATCACCCCAAGGACATGCTTTCTGGGTGGAGTAGGAAGTCAGTATTTTGAAATATTTGATTTCGTGGATTTTGGACAAGAGGCCAACTCATTTCTGTTGAAATGTGGGAGTAAACACGAACCTACCGTTGCGGAAGTAGCCTATATGATGGTTCGCGAACCACAAAGATTATACGGAGTATTCAATAGCTCTGATAAGTATCTCAGTGTACTGAGAAGCATCGCAGAGAGTTGGACGCACCTGAAAAAAGATAAAATACTCGTCAGGGAGATGAGGAGGAGCCCCTTTTTGGGGTCTTTTAGATGGCGTTCATACACGAACGAGAAATCTGACCAGATCGATTCAGCGTCTATAGACGAGGATGATTCTGGTGGTATCAGGGAATTTGTGCTTGCAAGGGTAGACGAAGTCTTGATTTCCGATGATTACGTCTTGTTTCTTCTGTTCAGGGGGGAGATCTTGGCCGCTCCTCAGGAAGATGCTTTAGAAGGGTTTTATCAGGTTCGTCAAACATCTCTCGTTTATCTTGATCTGTTACTAATATATTCTAGTCGCTGGGGGTGCAACGACTTTCGAGCAAAGTCTCAACTGACTGGAACATTGGTCACGTGAAGCCCATGCCTGAAAAGACAGAAAAATTGAGAAAGCTGGTTCTTGAAAGATCGAGGTTGTTTTTGCACAATAATACCGAAGAGGTGTTGCATGATGCGCGATGGCTCGAAAACAATTTGAGAGTGGAAATAGTGGAATCCATTAGATTGAGAAGAACCTTGAGAAATGAAGGGTCCAAGAATTTGACCCACCAGAATACTAAAACTGCTACAGTCACAATGGATACAAGGACAAAATGGTGGGTACTGTATTTGACGCCAAAGTTCGAGTATTACGATGTCTCACAGGCACTTGTGACTTTGATCCTCAGAAAGCCAAGGCCACATTCAAGCTTGCTACTGGATAGTTTGCTCCACAATGGTAAGCTCTCTGTCGAAATTGATGTGTATACAAGGCTGACTCGTTTTTCTAAAGACTTGATGACCCTAAAATCAAGAGGTTATAATGTTGACCGTATCTTGCGGGCAAAAGCCGCCGAGGCAAGAATGGCAGAAGAGCAGCGGTTGAAGCAAGCCGAGATTGAAAGGAAAGCGATTGAGGAACAAGAGAAGCGGTATCAACAATCACAAATGCAGCTACAACAGGGAGAAATTGCAAGGCAAATAGAGCAGAAGAAGGCCGAGGAAGAGAAATTGAATATGCCTGGAGCATTTGGTGAATCTCCACAGAGTAAAGCTCTTAATCCTCCGGCACACCATCATCATCATGTTCCAGAGAAGCCCAAGAATAATTTCTTTGGAAGGCTTAGCAAGCACCTGGGATTCGAGGCGAATAATGGGCAAATGGAACAAATGCAAAACTTATTAAATAATAATAGCCCACAGCAAACAGCGAAGTCTCCGGGACAACTTGAGCCAGCTCCAATTCTGGGCGAGAGCAAGCCCGATATTGGAAAAGCTACGGAGCCGCACAGGATCCAGGCCAACCTCCAGAGAGCTATCGGGGCTAGCAGGGGACATAACTCTGATAGTGTTTTCAGTCCTCCACAAACATTCGAGGTCAAAGAAGCTCCGAGTTATTGTGATAACCAGTATGAATATCTACTCAGTTTTTTCTTCTTTTTTTTTTATTATCGCGCGTGCTAATATTGACAACTATCATGTAGTTCGGGTCAAGATATCCTCTATTTTGCAGAGACACCAAATGGGATCAAAGTTTTCGTTGACCGTAAAATTGCGGACAAAGCCGCCTTTGCTCAAAAATACGTCAAGGAGATGAATGAGTTCTCAAACGTGTTAAAGGATCTTTCTGGAATTTTCGGGCTATCCATTACTACACTACATATCTTTTATGACGAAGTTGGTGAGTTCTAAACTCAACCCCTGACTCAAAAACGGTTTACTGACATACAACGTTTAGGAAACACCATTGCCTTCAACACTAACGGCTCACTGTTTTGCAACCTAAGGTATTACTTCTATGCTATCATAAAACATTCAGCTACATTTTCTAACTTGATTCTTAGATTCTATCTACAACTTCATGCTAAAGATGTTACAATGGGGGATTCATCTCAAGCACTTATCTACTGGTTCGTTGTGCTTTGTCACGAGTTGGCGCATAACCTTGTCCAAGTTCACGATGAGAAACATTCTTTTTACACGTGTGTGCCCTGCCCGCCTCTATTTTTTAAGAGTTTTCTAATAATTGTTCAATAGTGAGACATTTGTCCAAGAGTACTTTGTAAAAATCATGACCAAGCTGAAGAGCATTCCTGGTGCCAAACCATGGGACATCAACATTTGATCATAGAGGACGTACAATAGACATAGAGTCAGACTTCTCCCCTCTCTCTCGGCCCTACTTGTACCTTGATTGGTACCTGAAGATGAGCGGGACCGCTTTTCTTTTCTTGTCTTTGTTTTCATATTTTTTTTTGACGGGGTATCTTGCATGGTGTTTTCAAACTTCCATGAGGCGTTCCTTTCTCATTGCGTTTCTGTGGGTTTCAACATATACATCTATTTACGTATAGATTCATTTGCAAATTTGGTTGGGAATTTCTTTCGGTGCATGAATGTAGTTTCATCATATATTATCACAGGCCGGATCTAAGGGATGTTTTTTTTTTCTTCTCTATTGCTTTTTTCTAGATGTTACGTGAAGATTTGAATGTAGTAATTACATGCACTAGGTACTTGAGACGCTGTTTTTTAATGAGCTTCATGATACAGTATATCCTCTACTTCATTCTCGGTGCCTGATCAAGCCTATCGGAAAGCTTGTGATCTATCCATAAGTTAACATCTAGAACGGTAGCGGGTGTAGTACTAAGATCCTGTGCCGAGTCTATGTGCCTTATACCCAGAACCTAAGCCTGAAAATCAATGCTACGTACAAGGCTGGTGTATAAATCACGGATCAGGAACCATTACCAGGGCTGGTCTCGTACACCTCTCCACGAAAGCTTGGTGCGAGGATAGACACTGTTTAGACAATTTCCGCTGTAGCCGGTACAGACAGTCCAACATAGAACTCAAATAATCTCAACCTTTCATATGTATGTAGAAGTGCTCGTCGGAAATGATATAAAAGCCATTTCATCAATAACGAGTTCCAGAAAAATGACCTTGATGAACAGGCCCGGTCCAGAAAGGCTTTAAATGAATTCCTAAATTCACTGCAGGTGTGCAGTGCGAGGAATCGAAGTTTACATGTACATGCATGAATAAATATATAGACACTAGAACTTTGGAAGAGAAACTATGATATTACGTTCTGGATGCTATTCACATTCACTGGATCGAGGCAAGTAAAGATAAGCTGAATTTGAAGGAAAACGATTCTTGTTATTTCCTTCAACAAAAACGGATGGACGGACGGCCAAAAGCGTCCACTAACTAAAACAAAAAAAATGAAACAAGAAATTAGAAAAGAAACGAAAGATACTCCACCACTCACACAAACGCAGCCTTTGCGTTACCTGCACACACAGACACAGAGAGAGACACCCGGCGACAGCAGAAGCAGCAGAGGAGCCGAGAGACATACAGCTCTCTAGATGGGCTGGACATAAATGTACCAATGCCCATCCTCTACCCACCCCACCGGGCACCTCATCACCATCCCGCTGTTAATCTGACGGCACCTCTCAGCGCGAACAAGGCCTACCAGGGTAGCCCTGTTCACCTTCTTGCGGCTGACGCCATCCTGGCGCAGAAGCACTTCGCGAAGGTAATCGAGGTGAAGGCCACCCTGGACATGCTCGAACTCGAGGGACCCCACGGTCCAGACGTTCCATTCGGCGGAGGCCGCGGGAGGCGGGATGCTGCGCCCTTGGCGGAGCTGCTTGGTTTCCGGCCGCTTGGCAATGTGCTCTTCGCAGATGAGATGCCAGGTGTTGCCGTTCTCGGCTTTGCGGATGGTTTGTAAGGTGGTGAAGATGGAGGCGGTGGGGATGGAGGCGGCGGGCATGGGTGCCATCGGTGCCATTGGTGCAACGGGGGCGGGTCCGGGGGCGGGAAGACCAGCAGGGATAGCGGATCTAGCTTCTGGTGCACCGGCACTATATATGGAGTTAGAGACTGGAATGGCAACCATGGGAGACGATAAAGAGGTCGCTAGAAAAGGACAGATATTATCAAGGACCAAGGAAGAAACGTACTTCTGAGCTACACCTCTGCGGCGGGCGGCCTGGCTGGAACCATTGCTTCCATGCACATTGCTGTCCGGGAAGGTTAGACCTCCTCCTCTAACGTGGGCTCTGCAGATCAGGGTGTCAGCTCTATATTTCAAGCAGGGAGATATATCTTCTCCTAGACATGTGGGAGATGTTTAAACTTACCCTTGCGCCTGGTTCCAAATACGGGCCATGTCCTCGGCATTAGAATGTCCCCTAACAGCTCTTCCAGCTAGCTCGAATCTATAACAATGTTAGTTATTCGACAGGCTCAGATAATACTGGCCCGGAGGTTAAGAGAACTTACGCTTGATTGTTATGGCCTCTTTGGGCAGCAGTTGCACTGGTACTAGCAGTGTTATTGTTATTTCCAGCGCGAGTCGGGCTGCAAGAGGAATCATCAGTTGGGCTCAAATAATAATGGAGATATATATATCCTGGGGGCTGGGGAGAACATACTCTTGGTTCCAAATACGGGAATGGCCATCGGCAACACTGCTAGCAGCTCTTCCAGCAGGGTCAAAACTGTAGAAATGTTAGTCAAGCAGCCAATACTGGGAGACCTATGACCCTGAAGGCCAAGAAAAAACTTACTTAAAAGTACTATAACCACCGGCACGAACAGGAGCCTCGGGAGCAATGTTTCCATCGGCACGAACACCCATGGGAGCCTCGGGGGCAATGTTTCCACCTCGAGTCATGCTACAGAAGTGTTAGTTAATGGGGCTCCAGATGATGTTATACTAGGAGATGTTTCATGGAGGGAGTGAAAAACTTACAGTGCATCGCTCCACTGGCCATGAGCAAATCTTTGGCGTTCGGCGGAACTGTTGTAGCCGTTAGTGCGGGATTTTAACAGAGAACCACTGGGAAGATAAGGCCTTACATAGCTTCTTGGGCTTGGGTACGACGACCGACAGCACTGGCAGTAGAGTGTGAGTTGAGTTTTTTTCTTCTTTTTTTTTTTTTTTTTTTTTTTTTCAAGATATCGCTGGCCTAGGCTAGGCACGAAGGAAGGGGAAAAACATACAACATTTCTTCAGGACCACTATCAGTCTTGAAGTATCTTTCGTCTTGACTAAAAAAAACCAAAAATACATTAGTTGGCTGAGTCTCCAAAAATATTTTCTGGGATATTTTTTTTTTGCTTGAAGCCAGCAAGGGAGAGATAGAGGGAGGAAGGGAAGACCTACTCGACATCACCGCCATTATCTGCTGTGTGAGGGCGGACATTTGTTGGGCTGGTGGTTCGAAGCAAAATTTGTAAGTTGAACTTCTTCAAATAACAGTGGATAGATGGCTACGAAAAAAGGTGAGTAGAAATTGAATGCGAAACTTACAGATCTTCGTCTTCCTGCACGAAGGGATTATTACTGCCGGTAGGCTGTCTGTTATCATCGTCGTCGTTCCCGTCCATCTTGGGAAAGTAGCTGAAGTTCTTGTCAGTTCCAGACGTTAATAGGAAAGAAAGTATCTACGGTAACAAGAAAAACCATACCTTAAGAATAGTTTGATTGCTTTTCGTCTGTATAACAGTAGGTGTGTGAATCGTCGACGTTGTGGTGTTGTACAATGAAGAAGAAAAATGTATGAAGAAGTGGAAGATGGAGGAAAGGAAAAAAAAAAAAAAAAAGGTGAAAGAGTCGTGCGGTGGTAGGTGATCTTATCACCCAACGTCTGCAATTTCAATGCGGTGCGCCAACTTCTAAAGCACTCGTGCCCTCTTGCTTCTTCTGGTGGTCCCCGATTAAAAGCCCGGAAATGGTCGACGTCGGTGAATGGAACAAGAGCCCAGAAAAATCGGAGCAGCGCTCGGAGCGGACGCTGCGATGCGCTTTCTATAGATGCAACGGCGCTCCTTCTTGTTTTGCTTCTGACTTTTTTTACACGGCTTTTTGAATGGGAGGGAGTCTTTAAGATATGGGGGAATGGGTGGTATCGATATATCTTGTATCTGAGGAGGGGGTTGGGGGGGGGGGTAGGGGTGTGACCTCTGTACGGTGTATACAGCGTTGGGCTCTGTGTTCGTTTTTTCTCTCTTGCTCCTTCTCTTGACACTCGTGACCCTTCTTCTTCTTGATCTCTCCCTCTCATCCTTCTTCCTCCCCCTCGAGTCCACTCGTCCCTCGAATCTTCCAGTCTCGTCGCAGCACAAAAGACACATATACTTCACCTACTCACCTTCTCTTACCCCGCGCCCTCCTCTCACATGTCTTGTCTCCCCTTCTTCGTCTTACATACCACGATACACCACATTTCGTTCACCACGTGCACATCAGTCTACAAGCTCTCCCTCCCCGAGGAAACTGCTCCCTTCGCACCTCGCTGGCCCAGCTTAGCCACCAACAGTGATAAGATTGCAATTGAGCCACAACAGAAAGTATCTACAGAGCCATCCACCACGCCACACAATGCACAAACCCACTTTTCACGTCTTGTCTTCTCGTTGCACCGCTGCGATCATGGGCCATCACTCGATGAGGTTGCAAATAATAGGCTTGAGACAAGGATCAGTGAAGGTTGGTTACACACGGTTACGTCAGGAGGAGCTAGGCCACTTTTAGTTTTTAAATATTTAGATTTAGTGTTTTTGTTTACGCTCCCGCCCGCGGCCCGCTCTTCTGTTCTTTTCGGCAGTAGAATTAAGTGCATGCGCCGCCGAGCCTTTCCCGCCAGACAGACTCGTCGTTAACTGTACGCGATGGTGAAGGGGGGCCGGAAGAGGGCCCGCGATGCATGCTGTGGGGCGCTGTGGTATTTCCTTAATTCTCTGCCACGAGGTATCTGTGGTGGTGGGGGATGGGGGTACGGAGCTGGGCTGGGGGTTTGCGCCGCGTAAAGAACGGCTTGGAGTCGGCGCTGGGCGTGGGCGTGGGCGCCGCAGGGGTAGATGTGCAATTGTTTCTTTTCACTGGGAGGAGCTGCAGGTACGAGCTGAGAATGGGCGAGGAAGGCGTTGCCACCATAGAGCTACATCACAAGTACATGGGGAAAAGCTTTCGGCTCCCTGCTGCCGTAGAGAATGAACAAACTGCTACATTTTCTCTGATCGAGTGAGATTCCATAATATAACGCCACTTTCCCGCGGGGGGGGGGGGGGGGGGGGCTAGCAACATCGGGCATACTATCATACTCAAACCTAGCCTTATAATACCTGCGTTCTACACACTAATTCTCTTCTTCGCTTCAGACGAGATATACACCCAGCCCGGCCGGGTGTGCTGCTGATTCAATCAGGACACAGCACTGAACTGCTGCTGCACTGGCGAAGGCGAGGGGAAGGCTGGGGGGTTGTTCCGGCTTCTACGCACGCCGCACCCGGCCGGATAGCTAACCTACATGTAACTAATATGGGTGGGTGGTAGACGCATGTACTGTGGTGCAGTTATATAGACGGACGGCCCGGATTTGTGTGGGTAGTAGTTACATGTGGTCTCTAGTATATAGCTACATATAAGATGTAGCTTTCGTTCTTAAGCTTGTCTACATGTATTTCTTTCTTCTTACTTTCTTTTTCATCATCATCAAACCAGCACACTCACATTCGAGCTAGCTTTCTATTTACGAACCGACGTACACCCATGCACGTCATCTAACTGTACCCAAATCCTGTTTCGCTAGTACAAAATGTGAACTTCGGCTCTGGATCTGGCGGCAACTTTGGCATACTATGTATTACTACCTGAGACTTAGACATCTCAATTCGGCTGGGTCTTTATATCCTGCGGCCACCAGGAGGGGCGGAGAATGGTGGTGGCTACCTAGTGTTCTCCACGACACCGTTCGAGACGTACGTGACCAAGGCCCAGTCTTGTCAAATGAGGAGTGCCGGTCTCGTCTCGAGTCGTCTTAGCTTGCCCCGTCCCGAGAAAATCGAGTGAGTAGTTGTGATCAAGCCAAGGCCGTAACGTTAACAAGAAGCTTTGATTTGTATAGTAATGTCTTTATGTCTTCTGTTGAGATCTTACCTATATGTACTTCCTGATTTAGCTGCCCAAATTCTGCGTACCCGATAAACGTGTAGCAAACAGTTGAAGTTTATGTGTTGCCCGGGAGCGGCCGGCCCGCATGGTGCATGCAGGATCGATCAGGGGAGAAGTATACCATCTTGTCCCTAACAGCTATGTCACTAGTATATCCTGGTAGATTTCAAGCCGGGCTAGTCGAGGCCGGAAGTATTTGGTATCGAGCTCTTCGAGATAAGAGTCTCGAGACGTCTCGTCTCATGGGGAACACTAGTGCTGCTTTTTTACTAAGCTGCTAGACGTACGGAGATCGATCGTTAGTGCCGTGCCCGCCAGCGCTATAGATGGTGTCTGTACACAGAGCCGTTGCTCCCAGTGCGTGCAGCTAACTCTAGAAATAGATACCTATTCCCCCCGATTCGTCACTTTCACGAGTAATCTTTTTTGCTACGCACTTGATTCAATCTAGCTCTGGAATCGCTATTGTGAATATCACTCTGTACCGCCGATCTCGAGTGACAATCCATGAACCGCGCGCTGTGTAACAATTTCCTTTCCTTGCTCCTGCGGCAACCAATGATCATATGCCCCCCTATCTCACTCAAGACCCCACATCCCCACTCTATTGTTCCTGCATTTTTCTATATATACTGATCTACGCTACCTATTTAGCTACTACTAGTTATGTTGAAAAAACTATACACCTCCCGACGTACGCACCCTTTGCGCTGAATGCAAAATAATAAACTCCTGGTATAGCCACCACCCACGCAAGAAAATAAAAAACAAAAAACCGAAAACAGGACAAAAACCGAAGCCTGGCTTGTAACCCAACTAGCTGTCTATGTTGAAAAAGACGACCTCCCTATAACTATCCAAGACAAGACACAAAAAGCCCACCATGCAAGAAAAGAAAACCTAACAAAAAAAAAAAAAGAAAACTCAACCCACAAAAGCCCTCAACGCGCTCTCCGCCTTCACCACCATCTCCTCCCACTCCTCCCCCGGCACACTCAACGCCGTGATCGCCCCCCCCGCCCCAACCCTCCACACATCGCACCCCGCCTCCACCTCCTCATCCACCCTCACCGCACTCCGAATCACCACGCTCCAATCCCCCGCCCCACACACACTCCAGTACCCCACAACGCCACTATACAGCCCCCGCTCCCCGCCCTCAATGCCGCGCAGCAACTGCACGCTCCGCCGCTTCGGCGCCCCCGTCATGCTCCCCGGCGGCAGCGACGCCGCCAACACATCGAAGCCCGTGCGCCCGCCCTCCAGCCGGCCCTCAATCACCGAGACCAGCTGGTACACGTGCGCGTACTCCTCGACATGCATCAGCTTTGTCACGGCCACGCTGTCGCCCGCATGGCGGTGCAGGTCGTGCCGGATCAGGTCCACAATCATCAGGTTCTCGGCCGTCTCCTTGGGCGAGCGCAGGACGCGCTCGGCGGCCGCGCGCGTCGTGGCGGCGGACTTGCGCACGGTGCCCTTGATGGGGCGCAGCTGGCAGGCGTGGCTGCGGCTCCACGAGAGGAAGCGCTCGGGGGAGGAGGAGAGCAGCGTTGCGCCGGACAGCCGCAGGTAGGCGCCGTAGGGGGCCGGGTTGCGCGCCCGCAGCCTGGTGTACAGCGTCCAGGGGTGGGGCGCGGGGCGCGGGTGCAGGACCTTGGTGCTGGACGTCAGGCAGAGCTCGTAGGAGTTTCCGGCGGCGAGGTGGTCCTGCGCGGCGGCGATGGCGGCGAGGTAGCACGGCTGCGAGGGCCGGATGACGGTGGGGAAGTGCGTGGTGGGCGTGGGCGCGGGCGTGGGCGCGGCGGCGGCGGCGGCGGCGGCGAGTGTGAGGCGCTGCGCGGTGGCCGCCAGCCAGTCGTCGTCGCGGGGGAGCAGCGTCTGGACGTAGGCGCGCCCCGTGTCGGCGTCGAGCACGATGCTCCGCTGCGCGAACGCCAGGCTCACGTCGGGGACTCTGGGCCTCTCGTCGCCGCGGGCCACGGGCATGTCCAGCGAGGCCACGCCGGCCTCGTAGCTGAAGTAGCCCACGAGCCCGCCCCAGAAGGGCGACTCTGCGCACCCGCCCGTGGCGGTGCGGGCGTGCATGTATTTGGCCAGGAAGCGCCAGATGCAGCCCTCGTAGTCGGCCAGCGGCACCTCGGTGCGCGCGCTGGACCCGACGCGCGACAGCACGGCAGCCGCGTCGCCGACGCTGTAGGTAATCACTCTCGTCACGCCCGGCGCCAGCACAGCAAAGATGCACCACCGCCCCGGCGCCGCCGCCGAGTCCAGCACGACAAACTCGTCGGCGCTCTGCACGCCCAGCAGCTCCGCGACCCTCGTCGCCTGCAGCCCCCGCGCGGCCACAGCCCGCGTCGCCACCCGCCGCCCGACCCTCTCCCCCTTCTCCACAACCAGCGCCCGCGCACCGCTCGCCCGCTCCCACTCCGCCTGCCGCGCTGCCAGCCCCCGCTCAGCAGCTGCGCCGCCGCCGCCCCCCCCCAACCCCGGACGCAGCCCCACGCTCCGCCGCCCGCGCGCGCAGTTCCACGCGCGCGCCAGCGCCCACCAGTTGGCCACCACCTCCGCGCCGCCGCCCGCCGTGCAAATGCTCTCGGGGTGGTACTGGACGCCCCAGAACGGCCTTTCGCGGTGGCGCACCGCCATCAGCACCTGGCCGTTCTCGGCGTCGTGCGCCCAGGCCAGCGCTTCGAGCGGGGCGCCGTGGTCCGGCGGCGGCGGCGGCGGCAGCACGGCATGCAGGCTGTGGTAGCGCACGGCGCGCACGCTGCCGACGCCGGCAAAGAGGTCCGTGGCGGTGTGGGTGACGGGCGAGACGAGGCCGTGCTTGGGGGTTGCGAGGCGCCGGACGGCGGCGCCGAAGGCGAGGCAGAGGCTTTGGTGGCCGAGGCAGACGCCGAGGATGGGCAGGGTGTGCTGGCCGGGGAGGTGCCAGAGGGAGGAGGCGACGCCGATGTCGGTGGGCTTTGCGGGGTGGCCGGGGCCCGGCCCGACGACGACGGCGTCGAAGGAGGGGAGGTGCTGGAGGAGGGTGGGCAGGGGGAGGGCGTCGATGGGGAGGGTGTGCACTGTTGCGTGCGTGGTGGTGCGCAGGAGGGAGGCGAGGTTGGCGGTGAAGGAGTCGTAGGCGTCGAGGAGGAGGATGCGCGGCGGGGGGGGGGTTGCGGACGGCATTCTGTCTGTCTGGGGGCAGGAGTGTGTTTGCTGTATTGGGGGTGAGTATGGATGGAGGAGTGACTCGATGGGCTGGCTGGGCGAGTGGGGGTCTTTGGAATATTAATCAGACTGACAGATCCAAGCCAGAGAGAGTGTAGATATCTCACCTATCCAAGCTTTAATCCCGACTGTTTAAATCTTAATTTCCCAAAGACAGGACCTATCCTCTCTACCGAGGACCGCTCAACGTTTTGCAAAAGCACCGACCGGGCCCTAGCTATGGTATGTAGCTATGTAGGTATGTATGTCGTATCAATGATCGGCCCTGTCTCTTCCCCTAAGACAGATTTTTTTTTTCCTGGGCACCCACCCCCTGCGTCGATTTCGCTTAGCAACGGCATCTGACACCTCCCCCCTACATGCATTACCCTATTTCAACCTCATCTCATGGTCAACTGTCTATGGAGGTCGTGAAGAGGGCTGTATATAGTAGTACATCGGCACAATTGTTTTCAGAGAATGGGTGTTTGGGGTGTTTGTTTTTCTGTTTGGTACTCTATTTGCTAATAGGGTTAGGGTTGAAGTACTTGCAGAATTAAACAGATATTAACTTGTTGCTTAATCTGGTTGTATGTAGCTTTAATATAATCGCAAGGCATAATACTGCATTCTGTACTCTATCAAACATAAAATTGGAGCATTCAGTTGTTGGGATCTGTAAAAACACGGTTAGGAATTCTTGCTGGGGCCAGATGGGAATGTCGAAATATGTAGTATGTACGGGATTTTAAGCACGAGTTAATTTGCTGAGGCTGAATACATGAAATGTAGGCTGTTGAAGTTGAATAGGCTACAAATATCCGCACCTTCTGCGCACCCAACCGCCACCGCGCAGCTTACAAAGCCTCTCCCCCCCACCAACCAAAGCTCACCTGCCACAACTGCTCTTCCTCTCCCACTCCGCCCAACCCCCCAAAAAACATCCCCTCCCCTCCCCTCCCCTCCCCTCCCCTCCCCTTCCACTTCCTCCCTCCATCAACCTCCATCGTGGACGGACCGAACCATGCCCCCCCACCTCACAATCGACGACCTCCTCTCCTCGCCCGACGAACGCTCCCAAGAGCTCGCCACCGTCGCAGCAATCTACCCCGAGCTGCTCCCGCTCACGCCCACCTCGGCCACCATCCAGCTGCCCGTGAGCCCCGTCGCGCCCGTGCCCGTGCTCTTCAAAGACGAAAACAGCAAGAGCAAGAACCAAGCATTGCTCCCCATCTCGCACTTCCCGCCGCTGACGCTCGTGTGCACCCTCCCCAGCGGCTACCCCACGACGTCGCCGCCGGCCATCGAGCTGAGCACCTCGCCGCCCTGGCTACCCGAGGCGGTCATCGCGCGCCTGCAGGCCGAGATCGCCGCGCTGTGGGAGGACTATGGGCGCGAGCAGACGGTGTACACGGCCATCGACCACGTGCAGACGTGCGCCGAGCGGGCGTTCGATCTCGCCGCGCCGCTGGCGCTGCCGGCGCGCATGAGGGCGCAGATGGCGGAGTACAACGAGACCACGGCGAGGGCCGTGTTTGCGGCCGGCACATACGAGTGCGGCATCTGCCTGGAGCCCAAGAAGGGGGGCGTGTGCCACCGCCTGAGGTCCTGCACGCATGTCTTCTGTAGGGCGTGCTTGCAGGAATACTTTTCGGCGTGCATCAAGGAGGGGCATGTGTCGTCCGTCACCTGCTCGGACCCGGCGTGCGTCAAGAAGGCCGCGAAGGCGGTGGTCGCTGCTGCCCCGCCGCCGCCGTCGTCGCAAGCGGACGGCGCCGATGCTGCGCCGAAGAGCACAAAGAGCATGCCGCCGACGCTCCCGCCGGACGAGCTGCTAGACATCGGCATCTCAAAGGAGCTCGTGAAGCGCTATGTCGACTTCAAGCAGAAGTCGGCGCTGGACGCAGACCCGGGCACGGTCTACTGCCCGCGCAGCTGGTGCCAGGCGCCGAGCCGCGAGAGCATCGCCGCGCTGGAAAAGGCCATGCTGCAGAACCACACGACGTACTATCTCCCCCCGCACGGCCTGGCCCCGGCCGCCACCGCCGCCCCAAACACCACCACCACCACCACCACCACCACCGTGGCGGCACCGCCGCACCAGAGGCTGCAGGTGTGCTCGCGCTGCGCGCTCGCGTTCTGCCGTGTGTGTGAGCGCAGCTGGCACGGCGATGGCACGATCTGCAGGGCGCCCAACGCGCCGCTGACGGCAGAGGAGATTGCGAACGAGGAGTACATCAAGAAGAACACCACGTCGTGCCCGGAGTGCAGCACGCCGATCCTAAAGAGCCATGGGTGCAACCACATGATCTGCAAATGCCAGGCGCACTTCTGCTTCCTGTGCTCGGCGTATCTGTCGCCGAGCCAGCCGTTTAAGCATTTCAACACGGAGGGCATGCAGTGCTATCAGCGGCTTTGGGAGGGCGAGGAGGGCGATGGCGGCAGGGATAGGGTCGTGGATGGGTTTGATGGGTTTGTGGTTGTCCAGGAGGTCGGGGGGTGATGTGCCGCTGCGGAATAAGGCCGCTCGTGGGAGTGTGGGTTCTGGCGGAGGCTGTGGGAGGAGTGGTCATGGATTGGAGGTTATGAGGACGATTGAGATAGCGGCCCACGCACGACGATATCGGTCGATTTAAAATTTCCTTTTCTTTTTTTTTTTTTTTTTTGCGTTTCCCATTCCCTTTAATATTCCCATATTCCTTCTTCTTTTTTTTCTTTCTTTACATTGCTATGGAGTTTTTCCCTTTTTTATTTTTTGTTGGTCAAAAATACGGGGGAGCTCGGTGGGACTCTTGGGTTTTTTTTTGTTTTTGTTTTTGTTTGGCAATCGAGGGGTTTGGATCGGGGGGAGCTTTTCTTCGTGTATATAGTTTATACCGTGCTGTGCTGGCTGTGTGCTGGTGTAATCGTATTAGAGTGAGGCAGATAAGAAAAAAATAGATGCTTCTTTCATGCTGAGTGTGTGGTTCCGCTGGTTGGCTTTGAATCCGTACTGTGCGGTTTGACAGCTGGAAAATGGGGGCTATTAGGCGTAGTTCTTGGTCTGTTAGAGGTGGGAGAGAAGTATCTGATATATATGATATTGGCGTCGTGAGTGAATATGGATTGTAGCTTCATGGACTAGCACTCGGTCTGAGCTAGTTCTTGGCGCCAAGGAAAAGAAGAAGCACAAGTGTCAATTTTGGGTGGGATTACTTGCCAGGCTGCGAAATACGTCAAAAGGATACCAAACACACTCACCGGACACCTCAATAGTTATAATCCTGTTGTTCTAACCTGCGTATTTCATCATATCCCTATGGAGGAGAAATGTCATTTTTGCCTCTCGCAACTGTCAATCTTAAAGTGCCAATTCCCCGAATTGACACTTAGTAAACACGCTCTTACAGTGAGCGTTTTCAGGCAGCTGTGGTTGGTGATTGAGACCTCTCTATCTGAGGCCTGGAAGCTTCTCAAGCTTCAAGAAAGATGGCCCAGTGACTGTTGCTCTATTTCTCGAATGAAAGGAGGATGGAGTGATAGAGATTGGACTAAGTGCGTTGCCGCAGCTTAACTTTATAGGGCCTTAAAACTAACACATATGCTTGACCGATTATAACCACGTAGCTGTTGTAACGTGTCTTAACACCTATGAATTCACCACGTGCACAGTGTGTACAATAATCGGAATAGAGATGTCGTAGTTGATTGATATACATATATGTAGGGCAACAATCTTAAGATCAAGCTTTGAAGAATGCGAATTAGGGCTTCTTTCCGCCTGCTAAATGGATAACTTCCATTTCCCGGGCTTCACTTCCTTTACGGGCTTTTCTATACCCTCTACTAGAAACGGAGAGTCGATCGGGGAAGTAAGTGATATATATGATGGAAATTGAAGAGAGTGCATTACAAATTGACTGAGAACACTAGCCGAGTGCTGGTATATGTATCGACTAATTCAGAATTATATGATTTCCTCTTAAACAATATTGTATGTTCATGAATATACGTACTGGCGGTTATTGAAGTTAAGCAAAAATTCACAACTGTCCATCATCTCAAAATAAATTTAAACAGAGTAAAATCCCCTTTCGACATGCATGCCTAGACACCAAATCCGCACTAATCCAGAGGTTTTTTTGTTGTCAATCCATCGATTATATGTGCTGGAGGTTCATGCATATGAAGGAGAAAAAAACGAAGATTGGGTGGAAGCTTTACTCCCCTAGCTCGGGCCTAGGACATAATACCGCTTTTTCAGCAGCAAAAAGGAAAATATCAGCCCATCAGGTCCGCCCAATCATAATATTTTCAATATCAGATCACTTATAAACCTTCAGAACCTCCGGTAATACTACAGCAATAGCTGCAAACGCGGCCGCATAGGTTGCTGGTACAAAGGCGTTTTGAAAGTCGTTCGGGTGCTTAACCAGCCACCAGATTGCAAACGCCAGTGTTCCGAGCCAAACAATAACCAGCAAGGAGATGAACTTCCACATCGAAAGACCTTCCATAGGCTGTAGACCCCAGCCTTCTACTCTCCTCCCCCTTCCCAGCGGCCCAACTACTCGTTTAGGCATGAGAGCTAGACAGTCGGAGGTTGTACCGGCACAGTCAGGCCTTTCAAAATAATGCATAAACTCGGCTACCGGGAAAACGGGGGGGTTCTCGGGTGGCTTGGGGATATATTTGTAATCGCTGTTTGTATGAGGAGGCAATTCCTCAGAATCCTGACAGTCGACATAATCCTGATAGTATCGAATGAACTTGAAGATGTTAGCATATTAAACCTTAGCCATACGAGAGAGCTCTTAAGTCGTCAGTCCAGATCCAATCTAATGATGTAACCTTGCTCGCATATAACAGCTCCCATAGGAGGTCTGGCTACGTATCATTGGGATCCGGATCGACCGCTCAAGGGAAAGCAGAGAATTTACCCTGACAAACTTAATCCGCGCCACAAATGACAAGCTAAGCCACCGTTTCCAGCCTCGCGCACGGCGGTACTCTGCTTTTAATTTCCGGAAGAACTCTCTGTCATTTGAAAAGGTTTTCATATCCATCTGTATAAGGACTGTTCGATGCTGCCGCTTCCTTACGCAGCAAAGTACGAAGGTGCCAAGATTAGCAACAATGTTTCCGGCTGAGCTAATTACCGAGATCCCTGAGGTTGTTTGTTGTGGCGTTGAAGATAAACGGCCGGTCGTTGCTAGTACTGCAGATGGGCGAGTTGGAGGTTGACCCGACACCTGCGAAGTCCCCACTGTCCTGACGCTGCCAGAAGTAATACCAGCTGGAGATGAAGGAGAGTGATATCTCCCAATGGTTTCATTGCTAATCACGGTAGATATAGTAGATCCACACCCCTAAAAAACGTATTTAGTAGGATATCACCTGCAAAACTGAGGGGATCCGGAGGCTTTACGCATTTCCAAGACATTTGAGTCAAACCAGATTCTTGTGGGGGAACAGGTGATCTCAACGGCCACCAGAAAATTTCGCTTTTTATCCTGTTCTCCACCCAGATCCCTATTACGTCAAACCAATTTCTATGGTAAGGCCTAAACTCTATCTCATTTCCAAATAAGCTGTCGGGTTGTGATCTAGAGCTGTCCATTTCATCATCTACATATATCTCTGAGGATCCAACCAAAGGTACGCGCTTGACAACTCCAGCGGACTTGGAACCTGAGTTCGACGGATCTTGGCGTTCAAGACTGGGCATATTTTCAGAGACCAGTGAGGTTTTCATATCTTCAAGCGCACCAGATATCCGTGATGAACTCTGGACTTGAGAAGAGCTAATCAGGCTTAGCAAGGTCGCACCAAACCGCGTTCTTATGACATTGGGACTTACTCTGTCTCGATTGATATATCCTTGAGGGTATCAGGGCTGCATCGCTCCGAAATTGGTTCTTCAACTTTGTTCAATGGTTCTGGGTGTTGAGTGAATGGCTTCTCAGGTGCCACAGAAGTTTCCATATCCTCAAACATCCCAGATATCCGTGATGAACTCTGGACTTGAGAAGAGCTGGTCAGGTTAGCAAGATCGCATAAAATTATGTTGCTACTACATTGGGACTTACTCTGTCTCAATTAATACATCCTTGAGAGTATCAGGGCTGGATCGCTCCAAAATGGTTGGTTCTTTAACTTTGTTTAATGGTGCTGGGTGTTGAGTGAGTGGCTTCTCAGGTGCCACAGAAGTCCCCATATCCTCAAACATCCCAGGTATCGGTGAGGAACTCAGGACTTGAGGAGAACTGGTCAGGGTTAGCAAGATCGCATAAAATGATGTTGTTACTACATTGGGACTTACTCTGTCTCAATTAATACATCCTTGAGAGTACCAGGGCTTTGTTGCTCCGAAAGGGCTCGTTCTTTATCCTTATTTAATCGTGTTGGGTATTTGGTTGGTGGCTTCTCAGGTACTACATAAGTTTCCATATCCTCAAACACCCTGGATATCGGTGATGAACTCTGGACTTGAGGAGAGCTGATCAGGGTTAGCAAGATCGCATAAAATGATGTTGTTACTCCATTGGGACTGTACTTACTCCGTCTCGATTGGTACTCCACTGAGAGTTTCAAAGCTGGGTTGCTCTAAGAGGGCTGGCTCTTCCAATTGTATTGGGGAAATATGGGGTAGTGGCATTTTAGGGACCAAAGAGGTTTCCTCATCTCCAAGCACCCCGGGTGTATGTGATGAGCTCTGGACTCCAGGAGAGCTATTCAGGCTTAGCAATGCATATGCCGCATAAAACCACGCCGCCATGCCATTTGGACTTACTCTGTCCCGATTGATACTCCCCTGAGAGTATAATCGGTGCTTTGTTTCTCTGAAAGATCTCGTTCTTTACCCTTATTTAATCGTGAGGGGGATTGGTCGGTGGGTGGTTTTTTAGGAACTAGAGATGAAAAGGGATCCTCGTCGTCGATATATTCCACTCTATTACCTATGTTTATTAGGGGAGAGCTAATCAGGGTTAGCAAGGCCGCATCAAATCATGCTATTACGTCATTGGGACTTACTGTGCCTCCATTGGTACTCCCCCGAGATTATGAGGGCTGGGTTTAACTTTCCCCGAAAGGGCTTGCAAATATCGTTTGTTAATTATAAGATTGCGATTATCTAACCACGTTGTGTATTTGGTGGTTAAAGCACTGGTTATACTTCCGGATCCGCTTTTATCTATCCTATATATTACAGCCCTTTTACCACTGCTGCTACTCTCCCCAAAGGGTCCCATAAGGGTTCGCAAATATCGTTTGTTTGTAGCCAGGGTGAATGCACTGAACATACGTTCGATTTTAACCATTCTAGTTAGCATATCCATTATGGCCCTCGCCTCTCTTCTTCTACTCTCTCTAATATATTCCAGAAGTTTCAAATATTGATGTTGTTTAACCTTGTCCGGCCGCGTTGGGTATTTGGTGGTGGTTAAAGCACAGCTGGTTATACTTCGACCGGGTTTGCTTTCATCTATCCTATCCACTCCAGCCTTTTCACCACTGCTGATACTCTCTCCGAGGGATTCTTGAACTGTCTCCGCAAATGGTTCTATGGTTATGGATGTTAAGGGACTCGGGGTTATGGATGTTAAGGGAGGTAATGCTGATAGAACATTAACCGGCTTGGACCTAGTCCAACGCTTAACCCATTCTTTCCCCTTTTTCACCGAAACCATTTTACTTATGTCCAGGGGATTTTGACGCGCAGACTCTCCCGTCTTCGGTTGTCCCGTTTTGCTCTTATGCCCTTCCGTTTTACTAAATTCATAGAAATGTAAGCTTTTCAGAACAATTGTAAGACCATTTTCATCCCTTGTTTCAATGACTACCAACACGATTCTCATCACAATACTCAAATCGATGTTTTTGTCTTTGGAGTCATGCATCCCTACCCCAGAAAAGGAAATAAAAAAGATTACATCGCGTGTAGATCATGATTAATAGATATATGAAAACAGAAGAGCTTAGGCTTACTGACTCGTCTAAAATGGGCGGCCATCCATTTCGAATACGAGCATCAAGTATACGTAACTTTAGCTTATTTATAGTTTCCAAGCGCTTCGTGCGTAGAGTTTCCGGCCCCGTGTTGTCTGGGGTGTCGGCAAGGTGTGGTAATATAGTGTCGTTACCCAAAGGCATAGGCTTTATAGGCTTTATGTCTTTCTCTTGATCTGGTTCAGCTGTAATTGGGAGCTTACTCGCGGGTACGAAGCTACTCCATAATCGAGAACTGGCGTTCATGATTAAAATTAGCTTAAACTGAGTGTTTGAATTTTATATAATTAAGTAAAAAATGGAATATAGTCTACATACCGTAGAGATTCTCGTCCACTACGGGATTCGTCCGACCTATCATAACCAGCTGGTCTTAGCAATCGAGTAACTTTAATTCTGCGACCACATACGCAGCGATGGGGACAATCCGCGACGATTAATTACAAATGTAATCAACCCCCATATATTCAAGAATAAGTGATTCATATATATAATGTATACATGCATGTATATCAAAAGACTTACAGCGCTCCAGGCCTCCACAACGTTCTTCGCCTAGCCGGCGCCCTCTCCGCCGGCGGATCCTTAGAATCCTTAGAATCAGACTTTGACATGATCGATTGTCGACAATATATAATATAATACTAGCTTAATCCCCGATCGGCCGACCGAATTCGTGTAATCGTTGTAGTTATAGCTGCCGTGGGAAATCGATCTAAGAGATCATGAGCTGTGACTGAAAGCTATCCCCATGAGCTCGAGCTAGCTACATGTATGTACTGAGGATGCACCGAAACGCACGTACGCTAATTTCAGCCTTGTCTCTCACAGAAAGCAGCCGGGTAACATTCATCCCATATGATCTGGCAGCCAAGTAGCTATAAATTCATGACCTAATAAGGGAATTATAACAACAATTAAACAGAGCCAATCAAGAACTCATAACAGTTACCACATAGGGTTGGTGATAGCTGAAATCGAATTTGACTAGTTTTAGCCATATTTACATACAGCCACCCCGCAAAAGTGTTCGTGATTCCGATTTCGGAGTGAGACATTTATCTATATGTAATCGTGGCGGACCATCAAACAATCCCAAGAGAAAACCCCCCAGCGACCAATAGCGCCCAGAATCAATGAAGAATATGATCAATTACCTACCTTCTTTTATATACAGCCACGAACTATATTATATATTTTTTTCGTTGTTTTGAATCTCAACATTGATAACATCAAAATTACGGGTGCGCCACACTGCGCACTGATATTAAAACTAAATCGCGAACACTGTATCACCATAAACATGGCGAGTGAGAATTCATGATCCAAATTAAGCACCATTTAATATGCACCCCCTCTGCTACATACTCCGGAAAAGGTATATTATTTCTCCGTAACGCGATCCTAAACTGTAGTTGTAGCTATAGCTTCTAGTATATACGTATGCCTGTTGGTGCGTTTGTTTAGTTTGTCTGATTTGGCGGACTTAGGGGATCTTTGGGTAGTGTAGTGTATGTATTTGTTATGTGTGTGGTAGTATGTATTACCATGGGATTAGATAGGTGGGACGGAATGGAATGACGGTTACAGTGAGGGCTTGAGACTCTCTGTATATGCTGTTTTTGCTAGGAAACAGCGAGGGCACGGAAGTCTGGTGTGGTGATCTACTGGTCTCTAATGGGTTGGATGGAAGTGGGAGAGGTTTTTTTTCTTTTATTTTTTTTCTATCTTTTATTTTACTGTAATTACCAGGGCGCTATAACTAGATGTATGGACTAATTAAACTAATTGCTAAGCTACAAACCCCATATATCCCCCCAATTCCCTCCCGCCGCCTCCTCCCCGACCAACATACAGTCCCCGCACCCTATTCTCCACACCACATCCACACCCAAAACCAAAACCAAAACCACAACTCCATTACCCCAAACCCCCTCCCATCCCATATCCCGCCAAGCACCCCGCCCTACTTAACCCACACAACCCTCATCTCCGGCAACACCACCCCCACCGCCACCACGGCCACCACATACCCGGCAGGCACAAACGCGCCCTGCAAATCCGCCCTCCCCACCAGCCACCACACCGCAAACACCATCGTGGCGACCCACACGGCCAGTAGTAACATCAGCAACCTCCACAGCGACAGCCCCTCCCCCGGCTGCAGCCCCCACCCCTCTGCGCGCGCCCCGCGCTCCAGCCGGCCCGCGACGCGCTTCGGCAGCAGGTCGAGACAGTAGGTGGCGGTACCCGCGCACTCCGGGGAGTCGAAGTAGTGCATCAGCTCTGTGACGGGCAGGGTGGGCGGGCTGCGCGGCGGCTTGGGGTGGTAGTCGTAGTCGGGGTTTTCGGGCGGGGGGAGGACGCCGGATTCGTGGCAGTCGACGAAGTCGAGGTAGTATTGGGTGAACTATATATGTCAGATGTCAGCATTTACCGTCTACTGTACTACTTTGGGATAAGGAAAGATGGGGAAGACATACTCTGACGAATCTGATCTGGACCACGACCGAGAGGCTGCACCAGTGCCACCAGCCACGAACCCGCCTATGCTCGCCGCGGAGGTTACGGAAGAATTCCTGGTCGTTCTTGAAGGTACCGCCGCCCAGGTGGATGAGCACCGTTCTATGCCAGCTCTTGCGCATACAGCAGAGGATATAGGTGCCGATGCCAAGGCTAGGCCTACCAGCCAGTGCGGGTTCTGGCAATTCCGTGTCTTGCCGCATCGGGGGCGTGTTAGGTGGGCTGGGTGGGCATACTAGGCGTTCCGAGGGAGGCTGTCTGGGGGGTGTCTGGGGGCCCTTTGCAGTTTGAGGACGGCCGGGGTCATGGCTAGGTGGCGGGGTTGCGGGTGATTTCGGGGGTGGCTTGGTGTGTACCTGCTGGCCGACCTGTGCACCTGCTGGAGGTGGAGGGGCGGTAGTGGTTTGGGGAGGCGGTTGGGGAGGTCCGGGTTTTTTGAAATTGTTGAAACCTGTACCGCCCCGCCCGCCCCTGCCCCCGTATGAAGACTGGGGACGCTGGTAGCTCCCAACGGTGTCGTTGGGGATCACGCTTGATAGTGTGGATCCGCATTTCTAGAGAGTTGTTAGCACAGTGCTGTTGATCCCAGAACCCGGCAGAGGGGACCTACGCATTTCCAGGACATCCGTGTCAGACCAGATATGTGGGGATGGACCGGCGGTCTCAGAGGCCACCAGTCTAGTTGTGTTCCCATCTTCCGCTCCAGCCAGACCCCGAACAGATCGAAATGAGACAGGTGATATGGGTCAAACTGTATCTCGTCCTCAGGCAAATCATGATATTCATGTTCGATCTCTTCACCTCTATCAATATCATCAGGAGGATCCTGCTCCAAGACGGCTTCCTTCTCGGCGTTTTGTAGTGGACACCTGTTTACAGTTTAGTAAGTACGTGCACAGACACCAATTCACAGGCCAGGGTCATAAAACTCACTCCTTAGTCTCCAGCTCTACTCTAGAATCTCTCCGGATCCAGAACTGAATCGGCGGCTCCAGCAGCCCGTCCGACTCCATCCCATAATCCGTATCCTCCCCCGTGCGGCCCCCCGCATCCACGCCCGGCCCCTCCGCCATCTCGCCAATATCCTTCATCGTCTGTTTCCTCTGCCCCTTCCAACTACGGGCGCCTCTCCGGTCGTGGTTGCCGATGTCCTGCCCATGGATCTCGCGCAGATGCACCAGGAAGTTGCGCCGCTTCTTGAACCCGCCATACCCATAACTCTTATTGTCGCAGTCCGCAAAGCAGTCGATCAGCCCGTATGCGTTCCGCTGCCACTGGAACCCGGGGAGCGCACGGAATGCATGTTGATCGCTGAAGTCCGTTGTGCTGGTGAGGGAAGTGGTGGAGCTGGTTGGCGTCAATGGCGGGAGTTTTGAGCCGGCCTCGTGGGGGAGCTTGAATAGCCCGGTGAGTGAGCTACTCAAATGTTAACACGTGTAGCTATAGCAGCACCAAGAAAGAATGGACAAACGTACTCTGGACGTATCAGTTTTGTAGATGTAGATGTCGTTTTCGCAGATGGTGATTTCGATCTTGATTTCGCCGGCCGTGCAGGCAATTTGAGGTCTGATGATGTACTACTTTCTCTGCTCTGTTTGCGCGACTTTATGGTGATGCCCATGACGATTCTGAGCAGCGAAGTTATATGGATTTCAACAGTACTAGGGATGAGTACAATTCTTTGGAGGTACAGGGAGGACGCCCCTACCTGGAACCGCCTATATGGATTAAATTCCTCTTGCCTTACTCACAGGCCGGTCTGGCCGACCAGGATGGGCCAAGAAATGTCAATGGGGCTTAGCGAGCTGATAGCACTCCTCAGGCAACGGTTCCCAGAAGCACCATTGGGAGCAGCAGTCTACCCGCCCAGATGACATCTCGAAACAGGTAATGGCGTGTGGGATCATGTTGGTTCCCCTGATTTCTCAGCACTGCCCAATGACTCTGAAGAGGCTGAGGAGGTGCTGCAGTTATTGCTCATCGGTCGATAACTTATAAGCGACCCAGTGAAAATGCATGATCCGCAGGGCAATGCATGGGTGGCGGTTGAATGCCGATATGTGGTATTGTATGCAGTCCCTGGCACTGTGTGGAGGAGATGAAGAATAGTTTTGTATGTATTGTATGTAGGTACGAGGAGGGGGATTGATTGACTGTTTTAATACAGCGTGTGGTAAAATTAGATATTGTAGAAGTATGAGAAGAGTCCTAAATTGGCCGAGTCAGCCACTTAAACCCTAATTCTTGTACCTCTCGCTGTATCGCTATTACTGGTGACGTATGTACATACGTTTTTCTAGATCTTCCATGCTGCCATGTCTTTCGTCTACAGCGCCCAAAGTAGAGCAGTCCCGTCTCCACACTCTGCTCTCCTCTCACACACTTACTAACCCGCAGCAACAGCAATAGCGCGCGGAGTAGCCAGATGCGCGCAGTCTACTAATTACACCCAGACCCGTTGGGACAGATTGTTGGGCCAGCTGTTAAAACACGCTGCCAAACCTAGCCATAGGTTTTAACCAACATCCTTACATCCCATCCTCGAACAAGATCAAAGGCCGGAGACAGAGACAGAGACAGAAACAAGCCTCGACGAAACCGCCTGCAGAGCGCATGCCCCGGCAGAGCCTCCGGGAATCATTGACCTACCGCCAAGGAGCTCGCTCCCTTGCACACTCCCGCGCCGCTCAAGACATCTCTACACACTCAAACCAGCGCAACCCGACGTCAAGTCTCGCAGAAACATGTACGGCGTCCTCGTCATCTTGAACCGGAGGGGGCCCAGCTATCACAACGGCTACTTCTTCCTTGTCTCGGTGAATGAGCGCTGGTATACGAATGGCTAGATAGGCCGCTCTCGTGATCGGGTATTACAATGGACCAAAGGCTTTACGGCGTTAAATGGGCCGGGCGTATTGTCTCCTCGTCCGGTCTGTGCCGGAGGGAATGGGCACCAAACGTCCCGGGTAGGGTCTTACTTATCATCTCGATACCCCCGGGCCAACCGATATCTAACTCGGCCCCCCGGGCGCGGGAAAGAAAGAGAAACACGAACAGCGCATACAACTGGCAACCAGAAACCAGTCTCTACCGGCAAGCCCTGAGAACATCGGCGAATGAGCTACCCCGGGTTGAATGCACTCCGGAGAGTGTTTAAAAACTACGTGTCAAAAAACTAAAAACCAAGATCACAGGCAACATCGCCGAATAAACCACCACAATAGCAAGAACCAACCAGATCTACCGCAGAAAGTGGTTAAGAAAATTATACTAGACTATAGGCTGGTCTATCCTAGCCAGAGCTAATATTTAACTGGCCTTGGCACTCTTGGGTCCGGCCCGCGGGCATGCACACAAAAACCAGCACAGCGATCATTGGCTCGGGAGTCACAAGTGGGATTACAACGGAACGGCAGAGTACCAGCACACCCAGCCATGTGTACCGTGTGCTACAGTTATACATATAAGAGCCATAGAGATAACATTGGGGCAGACTAACTGTATTGGAGGAATTCCCGGGGAAAGAGAGGGTCCACGCCCTTTAATTACAAAACTAACTATTCCTAAACGCCTGGTATCTATTTACAAATCCCGCTACGCAGGCCCAAATCAAAAACGCTAACAAACACAGGAACACTCAATTGCCGCTCCCCACAGCTACAGCCGCAGCCACCGGCACATCCTCATCCTCCCCACTTCCATCCTCACTCTCACTCCCACTCACCTCCGCGCCCGGCCTCCTCGGCTCCTCCCCAACACGCCCACCCTCCTTCCACCGCCTTCTCTCCACCTCCCACGCCTTCCACGCCTCCACCTCATTCCCCCTCCTTTGCCGCCCCACCGCCTTCTTGTGCCTATTGCTCCTCACATGCACCCTCCACTGCTCCTCCCCCACGCACACCGTCTCACACACCTTACACTCCCTCGACTCCGACCACCCACCCCTCCCTTTCCTCTCCGCGCCCAGCACCTCCTCCGCCAGCGCCCCCAACCCCCGTGGATCCGGCAACCCCTCCCCCGCCAGAAACGCCCTCGCAATCCCGACGCCCGTCGGGCACACCGTCGCCGCAAACTCCTCCGGCGACGTCGAGTCCAGCAGGAACAACGCATCGTCGCCGCCCAGCGCAGGGATAAGCTTCTGCCGTATCCACCGCACCTGCGACTTCGCATACTGCCTCGTCGCCGTCTTCATCCCCTCCAGCGCCGCGTCCAACAGCGTCCCCAGCTCCCTCCTCACCGCCGGTTCCAGGTCTTGCGTCTCTTCCTCCCCGCCACCAATCCCATACTCCACCCCCAGCTCCGCCCTGCGCCGCATAAACGGCAGGAACTCCTTGAAGCCGATACTCTGCCATATGCCCGCGGTTGCATCGACGGCGTCGCCCGCCTCGTCCCACAGTGCCTTCATCTGCTCGATCTCGTGCGCCATGCCGCGGCTCAGCATGGCGTCGACGCGGTTATCGAGGCGGGCGCGGAGGGCGGGTGTCGACGCGTGGACCCAGAGGAGGAGGGCGCGGTAGGGGGAGTGTGGGGTTGGTTGCGCGGCGTAGAGGCTGCTGGGGGGTTGACCGGTGGTGTAGTAGATTGTGAGGGAGCGGAGGATCTTGCGGCGGTCGTTGGGGTGCCAGTGGGAGGCGATGGTGGGGTCGATGGTGGTGAGGTGGGCGTGGAGGGTTGCGGTGGGGGTGGTGGGGTCGCTGATGAGGGGTGGGAGGGCGGAGGGGGTGGAAGGGGTGGCGGGAGTCTCGGGGGTAGAGGTAGAAGTGGAGGTGGAGGTGGAGGTAGAGGTGGAGGTGATGGTTGTTGGGTGCAGGAGGGATTGGATGTAGTAGTGTGTTCCGCCGACCAGTATCGGGACCTTATTCCGCGCGTGGATCTCAGCTATCTACTCACCCCAGCCCAGCCCGGTCAGCCAATCCAATCACACCCCGGAAAACAGCCAATGTGAGACAAACGATTCTCCCCGCCTCACTAACAAACCTCCCCACCTGCCATGCATCACGCACACCCAACACACCCAGCAAATGATGCGGCACCCCGCGCGCCTCCTCCGGCGTGATCTTGTTCGTGATGATGGGCAGCCCCGCGTACATCTGCATCGCGTCGGCATTGATGATCTCGCCGTTGAGCGCTAGAGCAAGATCTACCGCAAGCTGTGGTGTGCATTTTAGTACCCAGTTCTCTGGGGTGTGAGACGGGGAGGGAGTGGTACGTTTGACTTTCCGGTGCCCGTGGCGCCGATGACGGTGATGAGCGGCGGGCGGGTGTCGGTTGCGGAGGTCATTCTGCGTACGGGGGTGAGGGTGGGTGTGAATGTGAGTGGTTTAGAGGAGAGGCGGAGTAGCTGTAGCTGAATCTGTAGGAGTGTTTTTGTTTGTGGTTGTGAAAAGAGGCGGCGGAGATGCATAAGAAGGTTCTCTCCTCTCATGTAAATAGCAGTGAAAATAAAAAGCAATTGACGCAAAGGCTTTTCCGGGGCTCGTGTAACGTGCGCGGGGTCAATGACCGTCCGGGTAAGTAACGCAATGCAACGCGGTGTCAGTGTGACGTGGGAACCTTGGGAGCTTTGAGCCTCACTCGCACATACACCTCACCACAATTTCATAACTCCGCGACTCACGACATCTCAACTATCACGGCTCGCAATTCTCACAACCACAACTCCTAATATTATACAAGCGCAATGGCAAACATCGACCGCCCCAAAACACCCCTCGACGAAACCCTCTGGCGCGACCAAGCCTGGTACCGCACCTGGGGCCCCCTCACCCCATTCACCGGTACCATCCCCCACTAACCCCCCCCCCCCCCAAACCCTTCACCCTCCCTCCTCCCTCCTCCCTCTTCCCCCTCACCACCCCACTAACCCCCCACCCACACACAGTAATGGACTACTTCCGCCTCTCCACCTTCTTCGACAACACCTCCAACAACGGCACCCTCTTCCAACAGATGCAATTCCGCCCGGAGATCCGGCAAGAGCTCGCAACCCCCGACCTGTTCAACGCGCGGCTGCGCCGCATGACGGGCGTCGAATACATGCTGGCCACAGGCTCGTCCGACACCGGTGTATGGGTGATCCGGAAGCAGCTGCGGCGCGGCGTGGTGCGGGCCGAGGATGGGCAGGAGGTCGAGGATGTGAGCGTGCTCGCGACGTATTATGTCGTCGGCGAGAACGTGTTTATGGCGCCCGCCGTGGGGGCGGTGTTGATGAACCGCATGGTAGGCTTTTTCTGTCTGCTTCTGGGAGGGGGGTGTGGGAAGGGGGCTAATGAAGGGGGGTGTGGGGGAGGATAGTTAACCGCCATCACGGCCCTCCGCAGCGCCCAATCCATCGCCGCCGGCATCGCCGAATACCGCCCCGCCGGCTCCTCTGCCTCTGCCACCGCCGCAGACAAAAAACCACAAGACAGCAGCACCAACAACAATAGCGGCGCTGTGGGCGGCAGCAGCGCGAAAGAGCTGCCGAGGGCGCTGGCGCTGCATCTGAAGTACCAGGGCGAGTACATGGACGACCATGCGCCGCTGCTTGGGGACCCGGGGAGCTTTCTGCAGAGCGGGCCGGCGGCTGGGGGAAGTGGGGGGGCGGCGGGAGGAGGAGGGGCGGGAGGGGGTGCAGTGGGGGTGGGGGGCATGGGGAGGGGGAGTAGGAGTGGGACGCCGGCGGGGGAGAAGAAGGAGGTGGGGACGCCGAGGCGGAAGTAGTGCGTGGGGTTTATGGGGTGGTTTGGGGGGTTTGTGTTTTTAGGAGTTTTTAGGTTTTTTCTCTTGTGTTCTGGGGTTTTGTTTTGTTTGATGTGATCTAGCTACATGTAGTGAGTAATTCTTAGGCGCTAAACACAGCGCGGCTGTCTACAGTATCGTACAGTATAGCGAGTGCCATACCATATCCCAAAGCTCTAGCTAGCTATACACCATCTCCTCCCGCCAGAGTGAGGATAAAATAACAGGTAATTAACGCATTAATAAACCTCCCATTATACCCAAACGAAACACATTCCTCACAACCCATTAAAGCTCCCCATATGCCCCCATCTCGGCGAAACCCGCTAGACACCCCATCCAGATGCACCACAATCGGTGGGTGGCGGTAAATCAAGCATATCCAACCCCCTATCCTACTCTACTTTATACTACCCTACCCTGCTCTATATACCCTGTGATGTTCAGCCCTGTAGCTACGTTACGCGGCCCTCATATATGCGCAATATGCTTCAATAAATGAGGAAGTCAATCAATCACGAGAGGAAGAATGGAGAATGAAGAAAAAAGCAGAATGGGTTTGTATAAGGTGGAGCGGAGTGATAACAGACCAATCAAGAACTATTCGTTACCAAGAGTCGAGAATCCGAGTGATATTTCATGACTGGCTAATACAGAGCATACAAAGCTCTCTGAACTCCCAGCGCGATTGAGAATCTACACCCCCCCAGGAAAGAGTACTTAGAAATCCGCTCTCTATTTCCCAGTGTTCCTCATCATTCAGGCGCTTTTTTGAAGTCCACAATATTACTATAGCATAGTATCCAGCACCAAAAAGTGAATTTTTTTAAAAATAATATTCTGCCGCAAAAGAGATTCGAACTAGCAACACCTCGTTTCGATCGAGGGACCTCCGGGTTATGAGCCCGGCGCGCTTCCGCTGCGCCATGTTGCTATAGCAGCATTTGTCTTTTGGGCAACTTTCAGGCCCGTCCTAACCCTTGGAAGGATAGCACAAGACGGAAGATGCGACAACAGTATTGAAATCTGTTATGAGCAACAGTGGCTGGCAACGTACCCAGCCGGTTAAATATTTTTCCAGCACTGTTCATCTCTACTCCCACATAGACTCTCTATACAAAAAAAAGAAAGAATCCAGGTAACGAGCGGTTTCGGTCACCACTTCCCCGACTGCAAACAAAAAGACACGCTGCCTCTGACTCTCTCTACGTGCCAGAGCAATTGATCCGGCGGTGTCAGGGGGGAAGTTGCTGCTTTTGGAAAGGCACAGTCACGATCGTATGTTCAAGAGACGGGGGGATGCGAAACACAATTCATACTTTAAAACACAATATATGGATTTTTTTTTCAAATTGAAGCACCTGCGGGTGTATTCACAAGCACACAATATACGTGTAAATGTAGAAATCAAGGGATCGAAGGCCAGCGAATAGAGAGAGTATGAAGTCGGCCGACCATATTGTGAAACAAACCAGCAGACGGCGGTGAGCGCTCTCCGCCGGCCGCGCATCAAAAAAAATTATTTTTCCACCATGACGTCTGCCACGGCGCTCTGCCCCCAACGCGTTCGTTTCCCCTGATCGGCTCCATCTGCTAAGAGATCCCACCCGCAAAACAAGCTCTTAACTGCCGTCCCTGTGGCTGGATCCAGGGGAATGCCGAGGTGCTGTGAAATACGCGCGTTCTCCGTTGAGAAGTTGAACTCGAGGCTGGCAGGGCTAAGCGATCTCGGTTTCCTTTCCGCACTTGGGAGGTTATTCGAGTTAAACTCTTGGGCTTTTTACTGCTTCCGACCGATGGCACCCCTGACAGGGCAGCTAGCCAGGGTGCGATAGAGTGCCCAGAGTTTATTCCAACCTCTTGGCGGATCCTACTTACATGTAGCTGCTCAGTTACAATTTGCTTGCTGCGTCAGAAGCATCGGTTTCAAAAGTCCATGTCATGTCGGCCCCGAGGTACCCTCCCTCCGTCCTCCCCTAATAATGAAATCTCCTTCTAGTAGCTACATGTAGCTACGTACTCCACCTCCACCACCGCCGCCGCCAGGAATGGGGGATGAAACTCGTCTATTCTATCTTAATGCCTATATGCATTTTTCTAGATACCGTGGAGATGGGAACTTGTTGATTCGATCAGGTCCCCTAGCTATTTAGAAGGACCAGGCATGTCGGAATACATGGGAGCTACTTCCAACGCATGTTGGGAATATATTATAGGGGAACAGCAATTCAACAATTCGGATTCAACCCATGGCGCACATATTGTAGGGCGCTGCATACATCATATCGTGAAAGAGATACCTACACGTAAGTATGGAGGCTTTTCTTCAGCCAGCCACCAAAAGCTTGATTACGAGTTCATGATATATCAAGTACTCAACCAGTTAGGCAGCGATAAACAAGCCTCTAGAACTTCCACGGGAAGTTCCTATCGCCTGGGTGGATACCTACCTCTCCCCAAAGACTAGATCAAGAGGTCGCGGCTTCAGAGTACTAGGCTTCCCGGGTTCCTAGAGTAAAGGGGATCGATCTAGGTATTGACCAAGCGACCAGCCAATCCAGAGCTCGACATTTCCCACCATGATACTCCGAGTCTACAAGTATTGACGGGGTGGCCAATCGGGTTTATTGCATATCGATTTGACAGCCGTTGCTATGCATATTAAGAACGACGTCGAACACTGCAACGCGTACGCACTCTACCTGCAGCAGGTGTTGTTAGAAATTATAGGGTTTGAAAGCCTTGGCAAGAACGGTGTATACGTACACCACCACGGCGATACTTTACAGATACTCCACAGCGCCTACTAAGCTGTACAAACCGAACTAGCACTTTAGGCCCGGAACGCGCAAGTGTGCAAAACCCGGGCCTAGCTAACGTCAAAATGGGGCAAGGGTTCGAACTGCTTCAACCAACAACAACATTACAAACAAGAGTGCCTTAGTAATAGCGTTTAGCGTTTAGCATTTGCAGTGCTTGGATAATCCTTAATCGGAACTTACAAGTCCCGACATCGCTGATGAGGATGATTCAGACTCTGGAGTTTGCTACGTTCTCTCCGAGATCTATCTTCGCTTTGCGCTAGGTTTTGGGATCTGGAGTCGAGGAGACTGTACTCCCAGTGTACATAGCTGGCAAGAGTGGGTCCGGATCAGAGTACTACGTGGGCTCGTGATCTGCTCCCTGGATTTCGCAACTGTTGTCAACGATTCGTAAATGCTGAGCTGTTATACGTCGGCCCTATATTGGATAACCCCAGATTGGCCTATGTCCGAAGGAACAACAAGGGAAGCATGGATTCCGAGCGTGGGCGTGGGCACGAATTCATGCAACCCCCCTTGCCAGAGTTGAAAATCCGGAGCTATGGTCCATTATCGCAATCTAGAATACCACTAATACCCATGCTGGGGGTTCGAGATCATCATCTACATCCTTGAGGACTCCACAGAATACTTACGACGACAATTGACAGCTCAGGAATTGGCTGTGGGAGTTGTACAAAGGAGATAAAGTATATAACCAGCTTTGGATGTCCCGATCTTGGTGAAAAAAAAAAATCATCATCAAGCAGTTCTACAGTCTCATCCTCACTCACTACAAATCAAAAACCTCGCTCTTTGCCAAATACTACTACCAAAAACCACTCCAACTTTTTATATCGATATCCAAAATGGTCCAATTCACCAACTTCGTCTATGCAGTTGCCGCTGCCTCCATCATAGGAGCAGTCACTGCCCACCCCGGATCCCATGACGGTGCCAGCGCCGCCGAGCTCGCCAGACGCTCCAACTTCATCGCCAGCTCCAAGCGCTCTCTCGCTGGCTGCGCCAGCAAGATGAAGGCCCGTGGCTTCGAGGAGAAGGCCATTGCCCGCCGTGCGGCCCTCGCTGACAGCATCAGGGCCAAGAGGTCCATCCAGGGTGGTCGTCAATACCTCAAGGCCCGTGACTTGGCCTCCGTCTTGGCCACCGACCACGCCTCCGACTTGGAGGGTGTTACCCTTAACACCGATTACAGTACCCTCTTCAGTGGTAACGTTTCTTGCGTCCTCCAGCCTGAGGTGACCCAGGGACCGTACTACGTCGACGGCGAGTTGGTCCGCCAGGACATCAGAGACTCCCAGGGCGGTGTCGACCTCTACGCCGATGTCCAGATTGTCGATGTCGCGACTTGCGAGCCCGTCCCCAACCTCTACCTCGACTGGTGGCACGCAAATGCCACTGGAGTCTACTCCGGAATCGTTGCCAGCGGTAACGGCGACTCCTCCGATGCTACTAACATCGACAAAACCTTTCTCCGTGGCGTCCAGCCCACCGATGAGGATGGTGTCGCCCAATTCCTCACCGTCTTCCCCGGCCACTACACCTCGCGTGCCACCCACGTGCACATTCTCGGGCACCTCAACCCCACCGTTCTCGCCAACAACACCATCACCGGCGGCACCGTCTCCCACGTCGGCCAGGTCTTCTTCGACCAGGACCTCATCAGCACCGTCGAGACCACCTCCCCCTACTCCACCAACACCCAGGAGCTCACCACCAACACCGATGACCAGATCCTCTCTGAGGAGGCCGCCGATATGGACCCCTTCATGGAGTACGTCCTCCTTGGCGACTCCGTCTCGGATGGTATCTTGGCTTGGATCTCCATCGGTATTGACACCTCTGCTTCGTACTCTGTTAGCTCTGCCGCTACCTGGACTGAGCATGGTGGTGTTGCCAACTCGAACTCTGGCGCTGGCGGAATGGGTGGTGGCTCTGCGCCCTCTGGTACTGGTGCTCCCGGCGGTGGAATGACTGCTCCTACTGGTGCTCCCCCTTCCTAAGTGGTGACTGAGTGATGTGGAATGACTTGTCTGGTTACGGGGCATTCTTGTATTAGTACGGATTGGATATGTATGAATAGCAGGAGGATAGATGAGGTCCAGAGATTACTGGCTCTAGTTCTTTGTAGTATTTAAAAGGGTTTTCTTTTTGTTGTGGTAGTATTAAGTAGTTTATATAAAAGCACTTTTTTTCTCGAGAAAATTATGTTCTAGTTCGAATATCGAGTGATAAGCTGTGATTATGAAGATAATATCAATTGGTTACTAGGCCGACCGAACGCTTCTTATAAGATTGTTTGAGACGATATTAGGCTAGTACCTTTTCGGGGAGAGGATCGCTCTCGTCACGCCTTGTGACTCGTGACGGGCTTGGAAGCCGAGTGAGTAACTGTGCGCCAAGCCCTACCGATAATCCCGGCAGGAACAGGTACAAGTCCTTAGCGATAGAGTGTTTCAATACTTAATCTAGAAATCAGTCAACTCAGATGGTGATCGAAATGCGCATAGGCCTAAGAATAAGACGCCGTCGAGAACCATCCACTGCTATAAGCCCGGCGATAGCGAAGTTGGGTTAACGATTAGTAATATTACATGTAATTTCATTACCTACATGTATGTATGTATGTCACTAGCCAAGCATGGCATTGGTATCTAGGAAAGAATTGATATATATATGACACAAGCTTCAGGTTTTTCAATAAGTTTCCACTAGAAGCCCAGGATCCTTTCCATTCTTACTACCAAGTTATGACGGAGGATGTGTTACAAAGCGCTCTTAGAACATAGGGTATCACTCGGTTTCGATACATAGCGCTAAGCTATGCATTGGTTGATTGATTGATCGATTCAGCGCTAATCTACATGTATGTAAGCACAAGCATCGATGAAATAACTTGAGTCAGCCCCATTTCTACTTGCCGAGCAGAAGGGATTAATCCTCACTGATTCAAAACTCAATGGTCTGACATGGCAGATCATGGCCATATGGGCCACGCTAGTGTCCTGAAAAGTAACAAATCGATTTAGCCAGACCAAGTAAAAACTCAAAGTTTCCGGGCTTATATTTTGAATCCTACGTAGTCAAGGGTATTTAGAGTTTCACGGCATCTCTTTTTGTATGTATAAACTTTAAATACCGAGGCCGGTGATGCATGAACTTGCCGTGCTGTATGTAAGATGATGCCGTTGGATTGTGGTATTACAAAAGTACCGATAAGTTTGATTTCAAATTCATTCAGTACACTTTTAGATTATCATTTCATGATGAGGCTAATTGTTTCTCTTATTCCCCTACTCAACAAAAAGGTCGGCATTATTGAAGTAATCAATCAATCAAACAAAAAGGTCGGCCTACCAGTTCCACCGAGTGATAATCCATGACTATAATTTCAAATACGGCCTAATACTCCCACCACGCCTAAAGACCACTTACAACAGTCTTTAAGCTTACACAACTCGGTGGCATGCATCCAGTCTACTATGGCTACCACAAACCAGAATTCGTATAATTCAAGATCCGCGTAGGGTTAGGGTTTTATGAAGCTTGGCTAGCCCTGCCTACCTGATTAGTCGGCCAAATTCTGATAGCGGCGAACCGGCGAACCACGCAGCTAGGGATGATAAGCATTAGACACTGGCCACTGATGTGTAGAGTATGGTAGAAATAATGCCCCTAGAGCTGTCTGATAGGTGCACTTGCTAAAGCCTTACTGGCTGGGAGGTAAACCTAATCAAGTGCAATTCATATTAAGCCCAGTCTATCACGCGAAAGATTGCAGGAAACTAGACGGATACTGTACCGAGTCAGAGAGGGCATCATTGGAGCCGTGCCCAAGTAGATTGATGCGATAGGTAGACTAATGCATGCGCATCAATCAAACTTCCTTGATCTCATCTCGTCGATCATGAAAAAAAAATATAAAGCTATAGAGAGAGCTAGAGAGACCAAGTAGATTAGGCCTTGGCCTCGACGTAAGCTAGATTTCCTATGACGTCTATCGCAGTAGTCGGCGAAGTTCAGATCTGGCCATGTCACGGGGGAGGTAAATTACCCACCGGCGTACTGTAATAGGTATCTATATGTAGGTATAACATATATCTAATCTCCCGGTGGATTATATGTATACCTAGTCTAGATCTCGTGCCCAGACGGTTTTAATTTGTAGATATATGTGCAGCGATTGAGCTGCACGTAAAATTTAAAAGTCCGAGATTGAGAACTCCACATGTAGTATACCGGTTCTCTTGCCTTTCAATTTAAACTAACTAGATGTAACTAGCTTCCAACCAGCCAGAAAGCTACAGATATCTCTCGGTCAGGTTTGAATTCAATCCGTGTTTTGCGGCTTATGAAAAGATCACGAACGAGCTAGCTAGCGAGTAACACAGGGTGGAGATCAATAACTGTTTTTTGCATGCTATATGCCGTTTTCTGTCCCTCGTTACAGATCTTCCCGTAAATTCTAGATTAATTCCGCATTTAAGTATTACTATTCCGCATGACTCGAGCTATTGGTAACGTTTGTAATTTTATATGTGGTACTGCATGCCATGCAGCACTACTGATCAATAACACTTGATATACTCTAGCTCAAAAGTACGTGTAATGGAACCTAGCTGCTACATGGGTTTCATCACACTTCACGAAGATCGTGCACATTCAAAGCCTTTAGCCCATGTAGTGTTAAAGCCTCGAAGAAGTGCACTAGTGATGATGATGTATGTGTATTAGTTTGTTAACCCATTTAAGCTGACCGGCCAGCAAAGAAAAATAACCCCATAATATGTAATTAATTATTTCTATTTAGATATCGGCCCTAAGCGCTCGCTGTGTTTGGATCACTGCAGACAGTACATATGAAGAGAGAGAAAAAACTACAGGGATTATGTATGTACTTTAACTGCGCGGGACGGATATCGAAGCCATCTAGCTTCCGCAGCGGCGGGAGCAACGATGGGATGAACCTTACGCTCAATACTAAAAAAAAAAAAAAAAAAACCATTGGCTCGGTTTCGTGGAACCTAGGCCTGATAATGTGCATTTATATTTATTTAATTCCTGAGCTCTCAAACAAACATCCATTCCGAGTGTTAATCCATGTCATCAGCAGTGCAGATGCATGCCTTCATTACTTATCTCGCCTGTGCTGCATCTCACTTATTATTTACTCAGACGCCCTAACACACGCACCCACACACACCTGTAATTCGCCGGCACAAATATCTCAAAACCACTACCGTATTCCTTTCTCTTTTCTGTTCCTGAGCCGTGGGTGAGATCTGCACGTGCTTTGAATACCTTGGGTCTGGAGAGGCATGTTTCTTAAATATATAAAAGTCCGTGATAAGCCCAGGGCTAGGAAGGTAGCACACAGCAGGGACGCCCTCCCGGACAACCAAGCTAGATGTGATAGAAAAAGAGTTTAGTTTGAAACCTATCGCCACCGGTAGTGGTTCCGCGCTTGCCAGCTTGAAAAGATTCAATTTTATTATCGACCGCAAACTCTATCCCCAGCTACAGAGGGCAAAACAGAGAAGAAAAGGGCGTATCGTTTCCTGGTATTTCAAGGCTTACGATATTGTAAATTGTCTTCAGCTCTAGGATTTGACTTATATCGCAACAAGCATTGTCCTTGTTCGGACATCCGGAAAATTTTCCATCAATTAAATACATAGGCATGTAGATGATAATAAGAGTCCCGGTATTTACGGAGTAGATGACTTCCTATCCACGTCAAATTTCGGTGAGAATGAGTGGTGAATAGAATCTATTCATCTTACCTTAATCACGACGAGTCACTCGTCCGTTCCAAGACGCGTTCAATCCTAAATAACTCCCATCAGCTGGTTACTGAGACACTATCTATTCCCAACAATTGGATCAGGTTCTGTCTCATCGGCCCTGTAAGCACTACAAAGTGATCCGGAGGTCGCCAATTAACACCATACATTCCCGTGAGGTTAAACGCCTCACAAATTCCCTTCCCGGCGGACGGTCGAAATAGAGATAATCCATTTACCCCCTAGATATGCGTGTGCCCCCCACACTTACGCCGACAGATTTCAGCCCTTCATTTTGATCGGCCAGAAGAAATATGTATGTCTGGTTACGCGCGCTTTGGGCTTAAAGATTCGCCAAGTCCCGCGGTCATGCAGTGCGGTATATTCTCAAACAGGAGTATCTTCAAGACTTCTGTTAGAGCAGACTTCTAGGGCTAAAGGTAGGCTAAACGAGGGACTTCAAAGTAAGCGGCGCTACAATTACACCGGGGCCAAGAAGAAAAAAAATGCATGGAATAGACTTTTACCGACAGCAGTGCCTCCAGTAGAATGTGAAAGTACCGCACTGAAGCCACCTAGCTCTCTATAGGCGGAGATCGCCCCTATTTCGTTATTATTAAAACTTAAGATATAAGATATAACAAGAACAGAAGAGAAATGTTGGCTTGGGAACAAGCCGGGAGCCGGTGGCGGTAAATACATGTATGCGCATACCCAGCTAGGTAGATGGGCATAAAAACGAGTACAAAGGCGCCATACCGTGGCTTAAATAGGCATGTATGCAGTGATCTGTCCCTGCGGAAAAATGGGCTGAGGTGGAAATGATCAACTCAAAGTGAGAATAATTGCTATCCTCTCATTCTCCACCCATATAAGAAGCTTCTGGCTTAGCTGAATACATGTAGTCGCTAGTTTGGGGGTTCATCAATTGTCAATATCCTAATCACTACTTTAATTGTTAGAAATTCGTGTAGGATACCTTATGTTTTTAAGGAAATACAATTGCAACGAGCTCTATCGACCCGGTGTACTTGAGGTTTTTGTCCCTGGTGCGAACCAAATATTCCGGGGGTTTGGAAGATTAAGAAGATTGGCAGTGATAAAAGTTCAAAATAGAGGCTAGAGCTGGAGAGATGTGTCTGTACACAAGAATCCAGTGACGTTCCTGTAAAGTGCCTGCATGTTAAGTGCATACTAGCACAAACTTTATTTCTCTTTCTGTGCACGTGTGTGCTTTCCGTCATCATACGTTCCGTGGAATCGATTCTTGGCTAAGTACATGTACATTACATGTATGTATAAATACAAGATGTACGTAGAGAATACCAGCTTACATGTATTGACCTAATCAATCAATCAAAACTTAGAGAATAATAAAGACCAACGTATCGAGTGATAATAAGTGATCAAAGATTATATTACTGAGTTGACTTTTTGTAAGAAATATCGGAAAGGCTTTTTGTGGGTTACAGACATATATACACTAGTCGATCACATATTTTTTCATTTGTTGCAATTTTGTCGCTCACTCTTAGCCTGCGATTTTCTTATCACCAAGCTGGCGTTCGTGTACTACCCCGGCTCATGAAACAACACACTACACTGTCTGTATCACTACATAACTTCTATGATTTTCTTTCTACCACATAGCTCTATAACTATACATATCATATGCTATTACTAAATGCTTATTCTGCTATAGAAAGTCTCACATTCCAACAGGCCTCGGCGCGACACCCTGAATGGTTCACACGAAACAGTCCAAATCAGACCAGGGCAGTAGTATGTAGCTACCAGGTAGCTGCAGATCCAGTCAAATGAGACATGCAGTTATGTAGTATTTTCTTCTTCCCCACACTGCGTGACAGAAGTTGGGGGCGGGAAGCAGGTTGACACAGTGACTGGAAACCCGGGAGTGCAGACAGGTATTCCCTACCTCCCCCCTCACAGAGGCATGCAGCTAACAAGGCGTTAGATTCAACATCGAATGGTGGTCCAAACCAAATGGTAGTGACCCAGCTACTAAATAATATCCCAACGAACAAATAACGGTGGCCAACCTTCGTTTGTGAGATCACCCCATACCAACCAGGCAATAATCCACCGGACATGTACATACCTATGACGGTTTCTCGGACAAACCGAGAACACATCCTTCGATGATAGGCAGAAGATTTGATAATTCATGCGAGTACTCCGCGAATATTCACTTCTTGCTCATCTCACAAATTTCAATGATCTCTTCCTAGATCTCTGCTGATTGATCATAAAAAGTGCGTTGTGAAAGGCATACATACCGGGAAGTCATCCTAGATGTCAGAAACATACCTAGCTTTACTTTTGAGAGTATAGTAGGTACTAGCACTATAATAATCTTTATATGCAATCATTGAAACCCGTGCTATCTATTGCGCGTTTATTTTCAAGATATAGCCAAATGCAGCGAATATTAGTGGAAAAGCTGGTCTCAATTTCGCTGAACGTGGGATCTTGTGGGTATTTTTCTATGGAGAAGTTTGATCTTAATTTAGGGACTTGATTCGAACCCATATATAGAAGTTATGCGGAGAGCATCAAAGGAAAAAGAAAGGAAATGCACGCGATTTTTTCAGAGCAAGATTTTTTTGTTGATACGTGTTCTCGATCAACAAGCATAGTGGTCAGTCAACATCTGACTCACATCACTGTATAATAATGTCACTTAGCGAAGTATTTCGATCTCAGTGTGTGCGTCTTGCCTTCTCAACACGTAGGGCACATATTTGGTAGTTAAAAATTAGACCTGTAACTAACGCGAATATTTTCAGGTTCAATTCGATCTCTTAACAACTATATTCACCCCGGTCTCGAAAGTTGTGTACTCTGGGTGCATAGCCAAGCCTTGACCTGTACTACATATACATTCGCCTCATGCTCAGCTTTGAATTGTCACTAGGGAATCACCCACAAATTCAGTCCCTTTCCAAAAGACACAAATTATGCACATATAGTTCTCAGTTATACTATCAATTCCAAATATTTCTACCCCAATTAATGTAGAGATACCTACTCGACTACTTATATGTAGTTGTAGTTATATACATGTAGATGCATGGCATATGGTCTTATATTCAGAAGATAGTACCTCATCCAGAATTGCCCCTTTTCAACCGGATAAATTCATTGCTGCATATTATTAAGAAGTTAATTATATATATAGGCTTATCTGAATAGCGCACGAAGAATCGAACTAGAGTCCTGGGACCAGAAGTATGTTGTGAAGAGCAGGTATTTTAGTAAATTAGTACTTCTGCTCTGATTAGGTGTGTGTATATAATGTAAGACCATCGATAGGACAGGATCTATAATGACGTATCTTGTATAGTTTCCACCAGAGCCATTAGTTTCTTAGGTTTATAGGTATTATAAATAGTCACTTGACCGGTTTTCTAGAGGCAAATAATTAATTTACTGAAGTGATGAAGAATCAGCCGAGGGCGCGCGGCAAATGGAATACGAATCTGGGTAGCTCCCGAGGATCTCTGAGAACCTCCAATATATTGATATCAAACCTGAAGCAATCAAAATCCCAGAAGAAGAAAGCTATTTACCGGAAATTATCTCTTCCCTATCGGGCGTACAATGATACATGACACGTATAAGGGCTTCTATTTGTGGTAAGTCCAACCCAGCTGCTTGGTAGTGTGATTTGATAATAATACTGTTTATTTATAGATCACCTCCAGTTCTGAGCCCTTCGAGAATCTGACTGCATACTTATACTTATATACTATTGCTTGCCCCTTGTCACGCTATTATAACAATAGACGGCTGTCACTGCATTTCCACCTTCGCCTTGAGGGCTTAGTTAGAGGCTTCTTTTGTGAAACCGTGCTTTTTCTTCTTTCTCAATGACAAGATATGTAGTACCACCGCTGTGTCATAGCTAAGTAGCTAGTAATTATTCCAAATGAGAAACTGTGCACATGCATTTAAAAATCCGTGATCGATGATATCGGTGCGATTGTGATAGGTCGATGGTCGGTTCCGGTCTCCGAAGGAACTGTGGGCACAACCTGTACCAAGCCATAGAAAATAATATTATCTCACAGAGTATAAGATAAACCGGACATATAATCCGAACCCGGCTCGGGACAAAATTCAAGATTTTGCGGGGAAGAAAACTTGTATATGTACCACGACCGGCCAATAAATGACTAGTCTGAATAATGAGGAGGTACCAACGTACGGAAGGTAATACACACCGGGATTCGGATGTTGAACCTTTCTTTGACGGCATTGGGGTTTAAAGTGCAATTAAAACTGCAAGGTTTATGAGAGCGCTAGTGATCTTGCGCCACAGGATCTTCGAGTTGCGTGAGAATAAGCAAGGGTTAGTTTAATAGAGCCGGAGAAACCCAATCTAAAAACGTCCAGTGACTGGAGTAAAGTTATACCGTGCTATGGTAATTTCCGTACGAATTAGTGGTAGGAAACCCCCTAGCCCAGCTTGAATCGCCCCTCCTTATTGTAATGAGAAGTGCACATCTGTACAAAACTAGCATCGTCTTCTTTTCGATAAAACCTCAATTAGACCACATACATGTACATGTATGTGGTCTATATATCATTGGAACTGTGCCCGTGCCCCCGAGTCATTTAATTCCTAACGGCTCTCTTGCCGGACGTTGTATTTTGGGTTGATACGGCATCGTCGAACATCTGAATTGTTAAATCGACAAACCACTTATATAATTATGTACGCGCCACAGCGCACACACCCGGGTTCAAATAATAAAGTAGCCAAAGAGCATGCACGCCAAAACAACCAAGCTTTGTACCGAGGCTAAGGACTCAAGCCATTTCGATGACGCCAATGAGGGGAAAACGCTGGTAACCATTGATCTGGTTAGATGTAAATCACTGATCTTCCAATCACTGGGGTTGCCATGCCTGTGCCATGTGGTCTCGCGAATGCATGCACAGTTCCTGCGGGGCACCCTGTCTCGGCCAATTTGCTCGGAATTGCCGAAGCACCGTTCCTGCCGCTATCCTCAATACCTACATAGCGAAATACATTTCTTGATGACTGACAGGTTTCGAAGTTGTCCCTAGTTTCTTTTGGTTTTTTTTTTGCCGGGACGTTATGAATCTTTGAATTTACCCGCTAGTAAGTTTCTGTTTTGTGGAGGCGTTGACCTTAATTAAACAGAAGTGGTAAGTAAACCATAGGTACACAGACAAACAGCCTCACACCGTGAATTCCCACAGTTCCTTGCGAGCACATTTAAGGATCCGCTATTCAGTGCCGACACTCCCCATTACGCAATTTTTGAAAAGAAGTCGTCGGAATGTATCTCCAAGTGAGTTACTACTTATGACAAGGCCAAAACCGCTATAGCCGCGCCCTTGTGTGTACAGGTCAGGACATTAGTAGGCGTATTGAAAGGTCTTTGCTACACAAGTGCCGGTAGGAATTATCAAATTTATCCCAAGGCAAGCCAGCCAGGTTTATGCACCGAGATTTGAGAGCATAAATCGAGACCCGGTTTCAACTTCCGATGCTGAATGCTAGTCGTCAGCCAGCTGATCAAACTTGGAGATAACAAACACTACATGTACATACATATTATAATTATGTATCAAGGTCTTCTGTGACTTGCTCGCGTAAACTGCGCCCCAAATTTCAACAGGGCATCCAGGATCATTATTTCTTCATGAGAACTCTCTACTAGAGTGGGGGAGTAAAAAAAAACCTGAGTTCTTGAAAGGATCTGGCCTTTGTATAAACACCCATGACTCGAGGTCATGAGATTAAACACCCCAAGCCATACTCGGTTAGACGTTATGAACCAGGTTGGTTATCTTTGATAAGTCCGGGGTCGGTAGCACGATCGTATGTACGGGTATAATTGACGGTCCGTATAATATATAATTACATGTAAGTACATGTAAGCAGAGGCCTTTGATGGGTTCGGCTAACAAAACTAACAATACCTGGGGTAAACGCGAGTAGGACGCACAGTTCCCACGTATCATCAGTAATAGTTAACGTTACCCCCCGTACTCTACATGTGTAGCACGTACCTACATAGCATGATGCGTACATGTAGCCGCATATGGCATTTATTATCAGTATACTTCATATCCGCTTATGGATAGATTATTATTCTATAGCCAAGTACATATTATGACTTTACAGTCGTTCGTCATCCGCTTTGCAGGCCCCAAGCGAAAGGCGGCTCCGTCGGTTCTCGTAAGCAAGCCTCAAGTGGACAGAAATACACATCTGCGCTGCCCACCAGCCTCCTCGAGACGTTCTGGGGTGCGTTCCGGCAGCATGTTTCCTGGACTTGAAGATCGTAATTGGAGTGCAGGGCTCGCAAGCGAATCAAAGGATCCCTACAGGTTTGACATCCCAGCAGAGTCGGTTTATGAACATGGCCTCGCCCCCGCAATTAAAGGAGGGAAAGAGGTGTTGATAGTGCCCATGTAAGTGTATATTCATGTGCGAGTCCAGCTAGGTAGGTACATAGGTACTCTAGGTAGGTCGAGTAAGTGCCTGGGTATCTATGTAGGCTGAAGACTGTAGAGTAGAGGTGTACATATTTAGAAACACGTGGTAAATAACTCTGAAATGGGTACTGACATACATGTACTTACCTACAGTCGGCCTTGTGCGGAGCATATGTACCGTACCTACCTGAGACTACACATGCAATATACCCTGCTGCATCTAGTCATCCAATGTACACGTTCTGGCATGCATCTGGAGATCAAAGCAGCTGAAGGTAGACTTATCGGCACCTACATGCAGCGTCCTCATCAATGAAGGCTGGCACAATACTAGCTGATTCTTGATGCCTGGAACTCTATCGGAAAACTGCTGTAGACCTCCGATTGCGCCTTCTGTGGATGATTATCGTACAGTAGATTTAGTTGCCGAGTTTCATATCCGACCTGTCAATATCAGCTCTATTCCGTCTTCGGCATGTCAAATATGGGACTTTCATACAGGCTATAATTTCTTCTTCCTGAGTGAGATATGTGATATCTTCAGAGCAGCGAATTGTCTTTCAGAGGATGGTGAGGCGTTAATATGTCGTGACGTTGTGTTCGTCCTACCGTCAACATAGGGAGCTCACTACTTTGCTCTATGTGCAGTGTACCGCCACCGTGCACCACCTGAGGATCAAAAAAAACTTTCTAAAGTTGTTGTTACGTACCCCGCCCCCTTTATTTTCTTTTTGATCGCTGCCGTATCGTGAATCGCAAGCGCATAATACGTCACTAAACACCCTGTTTAGTGAAGTTACTTGCTGACAATAAACGGAGCTAACCAAAACGGGACAACATGCTAGTAATGTCACTCTGTAATGAAAAATCACAGCAACTAGATCGGCATCAAATATCAAAGTTTGCCTAACATTTGACAAGCTTCATGTGTATCAATCGATTTGGCCTGCTCAGCCATCGGAGTAAGTATTTTCTGGTGCCTTTCCCCGGAGACTAAAGATGGGACGAACATGTTCACCTGAATACTACATAGTAAAGATGCCCACATCCCTCTAGGTACGCATATACGGTAACACTGCATAAATGTAGATATTTGTCATCAATTATCATTGATATCACAGGATACATGAGACGAAAGGTCAAAAGGTCAATAAAAAAATTAAAAAAAATAGCGCCAGTTGCCTAAACCCAGATCAGATAACCATCCATAAAAACAAAAACCCGTTCCTTAAATGCAGAATATTGTGGGGGAAATCCAAACAAAAAGCAAAAAAACAAAACAAAAAACAAAAAACAACCCCGATCGCCTTTATATGCCATGATAAATAAGAAAAAACCATTAGAGTAATAAAAAGTAAATAAACCAAAATCAGATCGCGCCTCCCATTTAACCGAATACTCCCAAAATAATGATCAACGGGACTTGTATTTCTCCAAAAACTGCTCCCCTAATAATGATTCCTGTTCGATCACCTCGAGGACGCGGGGGCAGCGAGGCTCGATACGGCATTGAAATGGCTGTGGCTTTGAGTTGAATCCATCCGTATATGCAAAGATATCAGGAACTATCTCTTCTCCAGTGATTTGATCATGGGCCTTTGATATATCGAACCCCCATAGAATGCGAGTGATTGTGATAAAAAGAGAATTTTCGGCAAGTTTCTGTCCGGGGCAAATACGTCGTCCCTGCAAAAAAAATATAGATTAGCATAAGAACAAAAACAAAACAGTAGGCACACTGCAAGGATCAGATCGGCTTACCCAGCCAAAAGCAGAATGTCCATCACGGTGAGGATATGGCAAAGTGCCATCTTCACGCGGACTCAGATATCGCTCAGGAATGAAGTCATGGGAATCTTTGAAATATTTCTCATTATGATGAATCGCCCAGAGATTTCCCAGGATGGTTGTTCCTTTTGGAATGAAATGTCCATTGTAGTGATCATCAGCGATGCTGGCATGGGGAGTGCCGCCCATCACGGCAACTGGCCTCCATCTGAGTGTTTCTTTGATGATAGCAGAGCAATAGGGGAGATTTGGCGCGTCACACCAAGTAGGAGAACGATCACGGCCGACTACGCGATCGAGCTCTTCTTGTGCCTTCGCGGCTACTCTCGGAAAACAGGTCATTGCGAGGATAAAGCTCGTCAAGGTCGAGGACGAAGTATCGCTTCCCGCGCCAAACAGAGAACCAGTCGCATATGCAATCTCCCGTTCGGAAAGAGCTTCTGGGCTCTCTTCTCGCTTCTCCCACAAGGTCTTCGTAAAACATGCCGGTGCATCTCCCGTTTCCATTCGATCCCGAACATCAAACGCGAGCTCAGAAAGCAATTGGGTGGACTCTTCAGCCCGACGCTTGACTTCCCGCTTCCAGGGGGCAAGACAATCAGGGATGAGCTTGAGTACAGGGAACGACTCCGCCCAAAATGCACCCGGTCTAAAGTCAAAGCTCAGTTAGGATTATTCTTTAATTTATGGGCTGACAGGACAGGTATACTCACACATTAAGTGTTGCCATATAGGCCATTCTCTCATAAATCCTCTTGATTACAGGATCCTCCAGGTTATCCACTCTCTGCCCATACGCGACACAGACCATCAATGAGGCAGCATATCTTTCCAGGTGTTTGCCAAAATTCTCTGGGCTTCTAACAAAGTCCATAACAAGTCTTTGTGATTCGGCTACCTGTATAGGCTTGTAGCTGTTGCAGGCCTTTGTGAGAAGTCCACTATGGAAAATCTTGCGGGTCTTGCGCCATTTCTCGCCGTGCGGCATAGTGAGGAGGGAATCGTTGTTTGTAAAAAGTTCTCCTGTGAAATCTCTTTAGCATTATATTTTTGAGACCGTGTGGGAAAGATACTCACCCATGATCACAAACCGTGGGCGAGACGAATATATTGCTGAACGGCGATCCAAAAGGTCGCAAGCTACTTGCGGGTCTCCGATAACAATAGTAGCACGGCGTCCAGCCCAAACCGTAACTAGCTCACCATACTTGTCTGTCCATTGCTTAAACTTGTACCATGGCTTCTGAGGTGGTAGATGCCATTTATTTCCTAAGAATGGAACAGGTGATGGTCCCGGGGGCCTATGGAGCTGTTAGTTTGGTGTATTAAAAGACGAAGTGGATAAAAGAGACATACATGATAGAATGTCGTCTGTAGTCCTGAAGGACGATAAGAAGGAATATCATGACAACTGCATAAATTCCCGCTGTCAAACTGGCAATTCCGTGAAAGTGTGTTCCCGCCTGGTCTAATGGGACAATAACATTCTCAAGGCCATATTCAGGAAGCTTGCTTCCAGCTAGATGAAAACTTGATATAAGTGATGCTAGAGGAGCTTCAACAGTCGAAGTGAACGGTGAACTTTGGGGTATTGGTAGTTGGGAAATCATGGTTTCCTTCATATTGAATGAACGAAGCACTGTTCACGACAATATTCGTTGATGAAGTATATTTGTTATTATTATGGTGTATTCGTCATATATACCAAAGTTCTGAGGACTGGCGGGGTCAGTCTTTATACTCATTATTTCGAACGCCTCCTACCGGGGCGCCGCAAACTGCGGGCACAGAATTATTCCCATGTTCTTCCGATGCATATGTGCACGGAACAAGAGGGAGAGACACGAGGACTCAGTGCTCAGCCAGGGGTTATTTGAGACCCCACTTGAACTCTCGGGATAGGCATCGCGAGGCTGGCTTACGCAGGGTGTATTACAGACTGTGCAGGTAATCTTGCGCTACCTGTACATGTATGCAATGTATCTCACCACGTTATACAGGTGGAGGGTTCACGTTATAATACTAATGCTTGTTCATGAGGAGGCTTTTGAGATGACCTCCGACAACACCCACCTGCCATTTTCCTCTTGTCTTACACCAGGACCTTTCTTTTTTTCTTTGGGGAAGAGAAAAGTTGCCAGTTCCAGATCTTTTTTCGATTTGCGGCTTGAATTTCCACCCAATGACTATTCTTGCAAGTAGAAAAAGGATATTCTTTTTACACGCACGGTATGCCGGAAACACAGTGCAAGTCATCTTTATTGCTTCCTTTTCTTTTCTTGGGTAAAGAAAATCGAGATATAAGCACCGAATCCGATCTCTAATTCATTGGCGTTGATCAAGGGTGACCCTGCGCACTTCTTGACCCCATCATACTAGGTGTGCTACGTATTTGTTTAATTGTAGTAACTATATTGTTTCCCCGCGTGGCATCCCACGCGTGCACGCCCCGCCGGCAGTTCAAGACACTTATGAAGGGAATCCGATGGCTTGGAACGACGATGTCGGTAATTGGTGGGTTCCAAGTTCCTAAAACGTGGTACGGCTACTCCCAAAAGAGCCTTACTCTACTACTATTCGAAGGGCTTTTATATCCTCCCAATTCATGGACTTCCAAAATTCCCTGTCCATATGAAGTAGTGATGATGACAAAAAATCAAGGACGCACTCTTGTTGACTTTCTATCGCAGCTGATCACTGCCGTAATATGATAGAAGATTCCCCTATACTTCCAAACCTGTTTCATTACCCAAAGAGGATCTTCTCTATTTGCCGCACCCGCTTGCCGTTTACACAAGAAGAGAAACTGATCCCTTGAGTCAATCGAACAGCTAACGCTCAGCTCGCAAAGTGGCTGTTATTACTGACTGCCGGTGCTAGCACTAGGTACTCTTTGTGTCGGCAGTCAGGACCCACGACCGTGAATAGCGTGCGTTGCCCCAGTTTATACACCCAATTAAAAGTCAACTGGAACCAAAGGGGTTACGCCTGCCACTGTACTCTTCTTACCTTACAGTGCTCTGGTCCCCACGGCACAGGCCATGCAAAGATCTGTTTTCTTGCAGTGAGCCGTCTCATGGTCTAGTGTCCGAGCGTCTGCAGGAATATCAAAAAAATTGGCTCAACCGATCACCCAATCACTCCTGACACTATCATTTCAGTTTCAGATGTACGTATCTTGACGTTTTCGAGGAGATCATTGTCTGACAACTCCGATTATCAACACTTGGAATACCGAGTGAGAAAGGGGGGGAAGAATGTCTTTGAATTATGGATAAAAAGCAAATAGACATCGGGGAAAGACATCGCACTCGCATCACCATGTACCCAACATAAACAGTATTTCTCCAATGTAGATAAGGAATTCCCCAGTTTATTGGTTTACACATGTAGTTGGAGAAATTTCCACTGCAATGACAGCATTCCATCTGCCGTGTGATTGTTGATGGCTGTGTTGAAAACAATTAAATTTTCATCAACCAGCAAAAAAAAGTCCGAGCAGCATCGTCAACAACAATTGTTGCTTCGTGGGCTCCTCGTCAGTCTCGCATGTCCGGATTATTTCCCCATCGCATCATCAGTAGCAGAATCCTCGTGGAAATCGATCTATCTGCATTTAAACATCACAAGGACAACTCTAGGGCCTGCGTGATACTGGTGGCAGCAGCCGATTTGATTGTAGCCCATGTAGTAAGATATCATTGTATTGGCCCAAAAGAATCGTAATGCTCAATTCGACCAGTAATCGCTGTTTATGAAAGCCAAAGGTGTGTTGTAGTATGTATGGCTACAATAGTTCTTGCTTGAGCCACTCATGATCCAGAATTAGGCAACACCTGGAAGAAACCCGATTTCCTAGAAGAGCTTGTACCAGTTTATCAAAAAAGATTGGCAGGGGTCATTCCCTTTAGTGACTCGGGTAAGTCACTTTTTGTTTCCTTCAGAAGAAAACCCTTGTTTCCGATCGTAAGCCTCTTCTCCCAGGTAAATGGTGCGTCAATCGCGCCTGGTAACTGGTTCCCTTCGCCGGTACGATCGAGCACAGTCTTACCGTCATGTCAGTGGGGGTCTAAAACCTCATTTATAATGTAGATCGGGTCTGTCTTCCCATTCCAGAATTTTCGGGACTGCTTTTCCAAAATAAAAACAAAATCAGCACAAATATCTGCCACGGCGGAAGAGCTCGATGTGTTGTGGTTTGCTGAAAGGCAGGGATTTCGAATTTTTCGCAACGATTATATTAAATATAGTAAGCATTAAATCTCCACACTCCAGATCTAGCGGCTTGCAGGAATGTACAAACAATTTCTCTGTATTACTTCTAGAATATTAGTGGACGAAGAACGGGCTCGTCACTATTGCTAGAGTACGTGGGTACGCTTGAGTTCGAACACAACTCTAAGACATCTTATGTGCCTTATTCCCGAAAACAGTGCGTATGTAGTACTTTGCTGATAAACTCACTCTGTATCATAACTTCCCCTGGCATCCCGATATTCAGAGTGTTGTGAATTTTTCGTCATGCAGGTGCCGTCAGGAAGGTTGATTAAAACGGAAGGACGAGGCGCTGTGAGCGACGTTGATAACATGAATGCTTGGGGGCCTTGAGTTGACGAAGTGCAGACGACAACGGGTCAGTCCAGTTCATCTGGTTTTGCCTCTTTTCTATCTTTATAAGAGCTCTTGACGGTGATAAGTGTGAGGAATCGGATGTCGTTGACGTGAAGTTGCCCTGTGATGCAGCTGCCTAAAACGAATATTTCAGGTACAGAATAGTCATCAGGATCACGTTGAAGATCCCACTCCTACCCAGGGATCCAAACCAGTAGATGTTACTTCTTGTCAGCAACGTTGGCTTGTGAAAAAAATAAATCCTGACGCAAGGTGACGGTAGAGAAGATAGAGGAGCCCAGCCGCCTGGTGAGTGGTGTGGACCCTGTCTGATCTTCGCCCACGATTCCCCACAACCAAAGTCTTGGTGCCTCTTAACCAGCCCGGCACTTGAGGTCCAACGTATCTAACCGAGCCAGGCTCTCTCAGGCACTGCCGTGTAAGCTTATCCAGGCCTATTTGCGATATTTCGGGGGGCTGAGAGCTCAATAATTAAAGATTTCTGAAAAAAATTCTTCCGCGGAGGCGCCTGCTGGAGAAACCATCTTTTTTTTCCCTCTCTTTCCTCATTTCTTTTTCCCCCACTCACGCTGCGCGTTGCGACCTAACATCGACCTCACCTCGCCATGACACGAGTAAAGAAGCCGAAACGGACCGGATCGATCCTTCTGTCTCGACATCGTAACGCCGGGACTAAGGACAGCGTGCTTCCCGTGCCTCACGCTCACCCCGTTACCACGTCAGCCTTATCGTCCAAGACCGGAAGGACTGTTATACGAAAACACCATACTCTACATAAAAGGCTTTCCCAAGCTTTGAAAAAAAATGACGTCGATACAGCGGCGGCAATACAAGCAGAGATCGAAGCAAACGGCGGATTAGAAAAATACCAGCAAGCAAGTGTAAGTTCACGATCTCACGATACCCAGCGATGGCGGTTGAAAAAGAAAATGTTGCTTAAAACGCGTCATTGCAGGTTTGTGGTCAGTCGAGCCAGCGGGGAGGTGATTCATCGAAAATTTTTATCGAGTGGATCGGGGAAACTCGGCGATCATCAAAGTTAAAGTCGGACAAAGCCAACAATACGACTGGCCATGTCGGAGGGCAAAGATTCAGACTCCTTGAGGTGGGAGCTTTGAGTCCGGATAATGCTTGCTCCAAGTCGTCCATATTTGATGTGAAGCGGATTGACCTTAACTCTCGACATCCGAGTATTGAGACACAAGACTTCATGGAACGTCCTCTTCCTAAGGACGATAGCGAGAAGTTCGATATCATCTCACTGTCACTGGTTCTGAACTACGTGCCTTTGCCGGCTGCAAGAGGAGAAATGCTTCGACGGACGACAAAATTTCTTCGAGACGTATCTTTAGCCCAGGATGATTCTCCGATTTCAGAGTTATTTCCATCTCTTTTCCTAGTACTTCCAGCCCCTTGCATCACAAACTCGAGGTATCTTGACGAGGACCTCCTCGTAGAAATTATGAATAGCCTTGGTTACACTCTCGTGCGTTCGAAACTAAGCGCTAAACTGAGTTATCAGCTGTGGCGTTTGATTAGGAGAGAGTTAACGCAAGTCTCAGGGTTAGAGAAAAAGAAAGAAGTGAATCCTGGCAAAACACGAAATAACTTCGCAATCTTGTTAGATTAGCCATGTACTTGGAAGTTTGGTAGAATAGATACATGTAGGCTGCATGTATTAGTGAAATGGAAAGATCACAAATTGGTTTGATACCTTCACGTCGTACACAGACTTAGACTGTATCTTAACGGTCTCCATTATTGCTTGGAGGTGCAACTATATGTGACGTCCGCAGTGCCCCGGAACCCGGATGGATCTGAGACTCATGGCAACCACTCCAGATGTCACGAGTTACAAAAACTTGAACATATCATATCACGTTTTCATCTTATGGCATTTCTAAATGGGTAAGTTCTGATATTGTGCATGAAGATATCACCCACCGAGGTCATGCACTTAGTGAGGGCTTTTTGCTTGCACATGCTTGTT